CCACGTCATCGGGCTCCCCACGTCTTGTCTTCATTTCGCCTCGGGGATCTCTCTTAGGGCACGAAAACCTCATATGCCCTACTTCCCCGCAGAGGTAACAGGTGGGTCCACGTTGGGAACTACGTTTTTCCGAGACAGCCCTAATGCGGTTAGGTCGAGAATCCTTGCAAAATGCTTCCACTTCCAACGCATGAGCAAGAGCATTCTTGAGATCCTTATGGTGACCTAGGTTCACAGCCATTCGAATTTCACGGTCTCGAATACCGTCGACGAAGGCTTGAACCAACATCTTGTCTGCAACGTCTGGTGAGGATGCATAGGCTTTCCTAACCAGCTTCTCTATTTCACATCCCCATTTTTGCAAACTTTCATTTGTCTGCTGTATTCTATCCTTTAATTGAGCCCTATAGACGTGCTCTAAATGTGCGTCTCCGTACCGTGATTCCAAGGCATCCAGCAGTTGCTTCAACGTCACTTTACCTGTCTTGGTATCTAATATGGTGAGGGCTTCATCTCGCAGTCCCATAATAAGGGCGGTGACAGCCTGATCGTCATTCCACCCGTTTGACTCTGCCACAGTCTCAAACTGTATTTTGTACGCGCCCCAGGAAGATGTACCGTCAAAGGGAGGTACTTTCAGATTTCCAGATGGTGCTACAGTCGTTACGACACCTTTGGTCTTCAGGCACTGCATCTCTTGTTCTAATCCGAGAATACGTTTGTCCTGTTTCGAAAATTTGCAGTCCATATCAGATTCCAAGTTCTCGATCTTTTTCTCTACCTGTATTTTCAGGTCACCAAGTTTTTCTCCGATACGGCGGGCCTGTTCCTCCATCATCTGATGAGCCTGCTCCTCTTGACGCCGTGCCTGTTCTTCCATCATACGACGTGTCTGAGCCTGTTCTTCCATCATTAGGCGTGCCTGTTCTTCTTGACGGCGTGCCTGTTCTTCTTGCCGGCGTGCCTGTTCCTCCATCATTTGTCGTGCCTGTTCCTCTTGACGTCGTGCCTGTTCCTCTTGACGTCGTGCCTGTTCTTCCATCATTTGGCGCAGAGCAAGAAGCATGTTGGCATCGTTGCTTTCACCCATCCCGCGGTTCGCATCGAAACTTTGTCGTCGGGCAGCGTCGCGTGCTGATTGCGCCCTTGTCTGGACTCCCTCCGCAGCTGGAGACTCAGCTACAAACTCCTCTTGATTCTCCCTTGGAGTAATTGGCATTTTTCTATCCCACTTCTGACACCAAAATGTTACGAGCTAGGGGATCGGATAGAAACGCCGTAAATCTCTTCAAGGGTTTATTTCAATTAAATCTACGAGGAATTTGTTAACACTAAAAATTATAATTACGCACTGAAATTCACTAAATACACACACAAAATAATGTCACTAATTACTCTAATAACACGCACTTCACACAGTACTTGTATTCACTTTTCTTCACTATATTCGCACTTTGTCACTCCGGTGTTTATCGCTTGGTATCGCATTCAAAACTGAACTAACTGGTCGCGTTTCGGCTCGCTTATATATCCCTGGGAGCGATGTTCGAGAACTCTCTAGGCGGCGGCGCAACTGAGTAGCGATCGCACAATTCTAGAACGTGCGTACTAGCTATCTCTTTCGCACATTGCTCCGTCCTTGTCGTACGGCGTTCTAGAGTGCTCGGTCTAGCTTCGAGAAGGTTCCGATCTTCCCTCTCTCTCGCGTATCGTTCCGTCCTTCTCCCACACCTAGAAAATTCGTTCTAGAACATTCCTTCGTCAAAGGGGTATAACCAGGCCTGAAAACGCCTGAAAACGGGTTTCCTGAAAAGTGTACCATTCGACTACACTTGTTCTGAAACGGCCTGAAAAAATGTTTCAGCCTCCTGAAAACTAGGGTAACATTCTGTAAATTACGATTTTCTAATATGTGATTGACCCTCTCCTGAAACGGTCAGAAATCACATTTCAGCCTGCTGAAAAGTTCTCTAAGTAGTGGAAAAATCTAGAAACATTGTAGTCGACCCGTCTTCGTAACAATATGTTTATGGTCTGACATAGAAGATTCTATTAAAGCCATGTGAAAGTGATCTCTTATTAGGTTCGTTGTAGCGTGATCTAATATAGATTTTCGTGTTGTTGAATCCCTTGTGGAATACCTTTTAGATATTTTATTGAGTATTGTATATCCAATTTCGTTCATAAGTTCGATGTACTGCTTAGATTTAGTGTTTTTAGTTAATAAATCTGTATTGAAATCTCCAAAAACTATAGCTCTGCGTCTTCTCCGAAGCTGTTGAGTGTATGCTTCAAGGAATTGATTGTAGTTAGTATTACCAGGGTAATAGATGACACCTACTTCTATTTTATATCTTTTTAATTGTACCCAAAGATAATTATTTCCATCCTGGTAGATTGATTCTGACAAGTTGTGCTCAAGACTGTTATGAACATATATAGAAACTCCACCACCAATTGTATCTGTACGAAAATTGTAATAGTGTGTGTAATTTGGTAGTTTTAGTTCGCAAGCCTGTTTCTCATTTTTGATCCAGGTTTCAGTTAGTAATATTATGTGTATAGTTGTCGAGAACGATTTAAGCACGCATTGTAGTTCATCAAACTTTCCTTGTTTGCAAATACTTCGAGCATTTAGATAAAAGAATGACAGTCTGAAATTAGTTTTTTGTAAGTCGTTGTAGCTGTCGAGCAGTTGATATGTGTTTACATTCGGTATTGCTTCTTTAATTATCAGTTTTTTGATGAAGTTTTTGTTATTAATGGTGTTCCGTTTTTATATTTTATTGTTATGTCTGTTTCGCCATTACTTTGACGTTGGAGCAATTCTTCTTTTAAGTTTTTTAGGAATTTTTGCTGTGCTGGAGTTTGGTCTGAGAAAATTTGTATTGTTGAAGGCAGCTTACTTTTGTTTTGAAGAAGAAATTTGACTGTGTCTGAAGAGTTATAGAATACCTTAACTCGACGAATTTTCGTTGGATTATATTTGCCTAACCTAATAATTTTTATCGGTTTCGGAACATCTTCTGTAAGTGCTCGGAATATATTAAATATATCGGTTTCGTCTTTAAGCATATTTTCTCTTAAATTATTGGTATTTTGTTCTGGTAGCCCAACCATAATGATGTTTTTCTTTCTTTTATTTCGTTCGTTTACTTCTTGAATCAATTCTTCGCTAAACATTGGTTGGATAAGCTTTGAAGATGTCTGGGGTTCAGTAAGACTCATTTTATTCACACTGGTTTCTAAAGTATTGATTTTATTTTCTCCTAAAATAAGTTTCTTCTCTAATTGACTCATTTGTTTTTTAATTTCAGTATGTTCTTTGTTAATACTAGATGAAGATCCTTTTATTTCATTTATTTGAGATTTTATTTCCGAAATATTTTCATGAATTATTATTCTTGTTTGCTCATTTGATGATCTAATTTCCGTAATCTGATTTTTTACCTCAGCAATACTGTTCTGCATTTTGTTCATGATTTGCTCATTTGATTCATTATTTTTCTCTAAGAGTGATATTATGTGGGACAATTCGGAACGTACAGACTTAATTTCGTTTAAACACTTGCATTCATGATCAAGTGGTTGTTTTCGTTTGCGATTTGTTATATAGTCCGCTTCCATACTACGCAACTTTGACAAGTCCGGTTGTGAACCGCCACTTGCATGTGTTGGTGAACGCAAAACACTCATTATAAAATATGTGCGTGTTGACTCGTTACTAAACTATACTTGCCTATTGGTGTAAGCAGGCTAAAAAATAGTTTCTGTTTCCTTCCCTCGAGGTGGTGAGGGGGGCCGCTGTGCACTACACTCGCGATTTTTTTGTCCTTGGTGTAATAAGCAAAACAGCACAAAAACAAAAAGCTAATTGTAAACCATTTGAGCCGTAGTAACCAGCTAATAAGTCCGAGTTCCAAACGACAATAAATAAATTAACTTAGCAGTGACTCCGTGCACACGTCCACTCAGCAAAAGATTCGAACGACTACTTTTCATATATTCATATATTTTATTTGGACGTACCTACTGAACAAGCGTCCATTAAACAGTTCATACAATAATACTAAAATAATCAGTTTTTTAAATATAATTGTATCTATTAAATTTGTAACCTAAACGATTTCCGAACACACCGATGGGAATTTAGCCATTTTTATTTTCGAAACAGGATCCATATTGTGGTATTCTATGCTAAAGGCACATGTTGATGAAATGCTATACGAAAAACAATCTCGACTAGAGTGCGCCAAGTATCATAAAACTAAATAATTTTCCTAAGGCTTTATATACGAGTATATGTTATATTCGAATCAAGGCAGAGTATTACGTCTCTGACTTTTGTATATTATCTCAATATCTAGGCACATAATTCGTATTCCTGCTGGATAAATATATAGAACTAATTATTGTGACTACTTGACATTTAAGCCTTGGTGAATATATTTTTGTAGTCACAAAACTATAAATACTTATAACAAACGTGAACTAAAGTTAGTACCGTGTGACCATGGCTATAAATTTAGCGTTCTTTTTATATAAGTATTCATGGTAACTAACAAGGTAATATTTTATTTAACCCAAGTTTTATGAGACAATATTTTACCATTATCAATAAAGAATAAAAAAATTAAGTAAAAAGTACGTGCCATACGATTCGTCGATCGTAATGTTTAGCATAATCTACTGTAAAGAAATAATAATGACAAGTTTTGCCTTTATTTGTATTTTTTTGCCGCTGTTTTTTTTAATTTTGCTATTATATTAGATACCTGTTATAAATTTAATACCGTTTCGAATTCACGGTACAAATAATTATTACTAGGTTAAGTCAGATGCTTGCTTACATTGTAGTCTTGATTCTGTAAAACTTAAATACAAAAGCCTTGAGTTAGAAATAAATACTTTGTTAACCATTTAAATATTTAATAAATAATAACAATTTCTAATATTTTTTAAATAATGCAAATAAAATTGTACGCAAAGCTATAATATATTTATCTGTGCATATGAAGGATGTGTTGGTATTTGACAAATGCAATCGCAGCGAGCTCCTTGCAGAACTCCTCTAACACTATTAAGCTTTCAACAAGCTCATTATGGTCTCCGCTGGAATAGAAAAATATATTAAAAAATACGAACAAATACTTGTGTCGCAAGTCCCATAGCATTGCCGTACAGTGCATTTTATGGAAAAAAAAATCTTAAAAGTGTATATAAATTATAAGTTTTATAAAAAAAATATATCATTTAAGTTAATTAATTCATAGTAAAAAAAACCTGTGTGAGAACATAGTAACATCACATAGTATATTATGTGTTTTGTTTAAATGTCCGTTTTTAGATTTTATGTATTATGTAGATATTGTTATTAACTGTGGGAATATAGGAAATAAAATAAATAAGTTTTGAGCAGACTTGACAGAAGTTTGTATCTCTAGAATCCGAAAGACCAATCGAAAATTTTACTCGAATGTTTTCTTAAATGAAAAAAAAAATCCGTAAAAATAAACGATTAAATCTGGTATCTTCCAAACATGTGATTCTATAAAAAAAATATACCCATACCTTATGTCATAGCTAGGATCTTCACTCATCAGTTGCTGTCTCGTGTCTTCAATTATCTTTTTATAATTCTTCATCCTTGGTATTTCTAAGGTAAGTCTTCTCGCGATATTCTGTAGAGTTTTGAACAACGTACGTGTATTCTTTGACGTTGGCAAATTGGGATTTAGTAGAAATTCGTGCAAATTCGGATGCGGTAATAGAGCTAATTTAGAAATAATCGATGTCAAATGCAAATTAACTTGATAAGGTTGATCGGGCATCCTTGATAACAGTTTGAATATCATTTTGAAAAACGGCCCCTCATCAAATTCGTCTTCAATAGTCTGTGGTATTCGTTTATCTGTAGTATCTGAGGTGTCACTTTTGACATCGTCTTTGACGTCTTTATCTGTGGATTGTGCTTTGGATTGATCTTCATCTGTTAGTTCTTTGGATAGAAGTTTTTTTGTATCGGTGTGCAATGTGTCAAACGCACTAAAATGAAAGTCTGCTTCAGGCCGACTGTCATAGCTGTGTGTGGAACTAGCTGTATTTTCCATCCAATTGGGTTCAGATGGCCAATGAAACGATGCTGTTATATCTAGCCATAGCTGAAAAATCAACAGAAATTATTTTTTACAACCAGTATTAAGTTTACTATAATTAAAATGCAATGTGTAAAATTTAACAATGTCTAAAATAAAATGCAAAAGCTCAGAAAACCGTTTATTTAAAATGGATTGATGAAATAACTTATTTTTAATTTAACAATATAAATTGTCTCAAAGTATTACATATGATAAGAAAGCGTGTTTAAACCTAATATAGTATATTAAAATGTTGTCTTACAAAGTTCCGTTCTAAACAATCTTCAAGATATTTTTTTTACACTTTTAAAAAGTCTACTTGGTAATTAATATATTTGGCATTACGCCGTAATAAAAGAGGCTGACATTTCAATTACCTGGTAATGTCGTTGGGCATCATGTATATAATGTTCATAATCTGCCCCCACCGGGTCTGATAACAGCGCGCGCGGCAAAACCAGCAAAAAACTGAAATAAGACGGGAGAAATAAAACTCCTTTCACTTCAAAAAAACGTTTATTAACATATTTATCAATACAAAAATATAGAATTTACTTAAAGTAATTAAAATTTGAACTTTTTACACAATTTACTTTAAAAATCTCTTAAATTTCAACGCAGACAATATTATTGTAGAAAAAGAATATTATATATAACAAAATAAAGTTATAACAGTTGTAAGAAATTAAAGAAGAAATGCATAGATAGCAGAATGTGCAGTGTAATGGTGGCCTAATAAATTAATTTAGAAAAATCATAAATATCTTAATACTATTAATAATACTCTTATCTTATAAAATCAAATAATAAAAGTTGAAAAAAATAGTTGTAAGGTAAAACCAAAATAAAAGAGTAAAAAGGTATAAAAATTTGAGATTTTAGGAGATTTTTGTGACAAATAAACGTCTGTATTTTTATTAAGATTTATATCTTTATAGAAATTCAAACATTATACGTAATTAGTTACTGAATACGTTACTGTATTTATATAGTAAAACAAAACACGAAAGATGGCAATAAAATAATTTGAACCTGTATTATTTTATGGCAAACATAATTTAGGTTGGCAACACCTTAATAAGTTTTCTAAAAACTATAAACTCGATTTGGTTTAACTAAAACATAGTTAAATAACGTTAGTAGTTATTGATATGTTTATATAATTAGTAAAAGCTTAAAATTAATTAGAAGCTGCCTTTAAATTTTCTAACTCCATTATGTCCTCGATTTGTGTTTTGAGTCGCAAGAGGCGTCTAAAAATATTAAATTTGTGTTAATTTTAACCAATATTAATTGCGATTTATTAAAAAGTATAAGTAATCAAATTTTAATACACAGCACGAAAAATACGTAAAATTAAAAAGTTAGTTTTTTTTTTAATTAACCAGCCGGCATTAGCCATTTTTGAAGTTAAACGGAATCGGTACGAATATCATTGCGCCGCCAATTTTATAAGCTTTGAAACATATAATGACTGAGAGTAACGCCATTACATTACATTTATTATCAGAGTATATACATGAAAATGAAGCTGTCAGAATCTGACATTATGGTATTTACCTATAGTTAAACATTAGTTAAAGTGCAAAAAGCGGTTTAGAAAAAGGCAGATTAAGTTTAGAATTACATTAATATAGATACAATTTGTACATTCGACATTTACTCAAGTGCTTGCATTTTTAAATATATTCAAAAAAATACAAATTTATATATTATCATACATTTTAAAGTCCCGTTTTCCCCAAAATGGGGCATTGACTAGCTATTTCTGCGTTTTTGACACATTTTTTAAAGCAAACTAAATCATTAAATCAAAATCAGGCAGGTTTTTTGTTTGTCCATCTAAGCCAAAAATCCTAGGTTTGTATGAAAACTTACCTATTTATAACTCGATGTATATTTTCCACATTCTCTCCTTGTTCCTTGTTATCGAGACCCTCGTGTGACAGAATATCACTAATCTGCTCGTTTATTGCGTCTTCGTGTTCGAGCTGCTTCATGGCTTCCCTGAATAATATAATAAAATATGTTTATTAAGGAACATAAGATACATGTATCACTTATTCCACGTCATTAAATTTAGAAAGGATTATAACATCTATAAAAACTGTACAATTTTAAGTTTTTACAGACACTATCGAGGCAAAGAACCGACCTTAGGGATCTCGAAAAATAGTATATTTCATTACAAATGCGGAAAGCCTGTCATTGCAAAGAGTTTCGACAAATGTCTACCCGAGCCGAGGCGCAGCCGAAGGTGAGGGTTGACAGTCGGAACAAGTTGCAATGACGGTTCCGCACGTGTACTGAACAACTATTTTTAATACAGTTGCGAAAAAATTATGCAATTTAATAAAATAATAAAAAAACAATAAACTCAACTCACTAATCATTTATTTCTTATACAAATTATTGTTCACATATACATTGGTACAGTTTTTTATACTAACTGGAGAAGTTTTAGGTTGCATATTTATTTACTGTTTGAGACAAACTATTATTTATTTCGTATGATTGTTCATGTATATTTAATATAACAACAACTAAACGCGCAAAGAACATTTTTGGAAAATGGCGCCAACCGTAAAAGAATATAAGCAGATTTTTTTTTTCTTCACCCATTCTGGGTAGGCAAAGGGAACTATGCCCATACAGCCAAGTCTTCAGTACAATTTTTTATTGATATGAAATGAAATTTAATGAGATGAAATGAAATGTAACCTAACTCATTGAATCAAATCATTAAATCTGATATTGAAACAAAGCAGTAGCTTCTTTTTAGAAATATTTGCATGAATCATAAAAATTTCTATGAATTTTTTTAGTAAAAACTTCGTGGTTGGTTTTTTCTTTTTAATAGACATTATTTTGACAGTTGGGAAAGAAAACGCACTAGTTCGGAAAAGGTAAAAAAAAAGCACGAGTGTGTAATAGCCCACATCCCGAACGCTATACGTCCCTGCAATACGCCACTTTTTGAGCAACTGTATTAAAAAATATTATAAGTTTCTAATGTAAAATACACCATATTTTAACGAAAGCAATGGTTCTTCATTTAAAATAGAAATAATGAGGTTTTATTTAAATTATAGAATTTTTCTTTAAAGAACTCTTTCATTTATTTAAAGAACCTTTTAGGAATGAATGAAAAATAAAAAATATAGAAGATTGTTTAAATCTTTGTTCGTTTACATATAAACTTAAATTTTAATAAAAGAAAACATTAACGCTGGTAGTGGTATACGTAGAATTCCTGTACCTATTTCTATCTCGCTCTCGCCCGAAGGACAGGTCATTCAGTCGGTCTCTCTCATCGGTATCCACCGTGGCAGGACCAGGGGGCGAATAATACCCGCGAGAAATAACACGTGACACGACTATCCGGTCCATGCTATGTTCTGTGCCGCGCTCTATTATTGTCTATAGGAAAAAATATTTAAAATATAGTAACTAACAACTACAAAAACATGTACAAGTATTGTAGTAGTAGTTAAGTATTCCTTAACGGTAATATTCAAAGTCGAAACTTAGCGGTAAGAACGACTCATAAATAAATAAAAAATTTACATACGGGACACTTGACTTTGAATGTAACGTTAATTGAATAAGATAGTCTTGAGTCTTTAAGCGCCAAAGAGAAAGGTAGGAAAAAACTACGATATCTTTGCCTATATTGAAATCGTTAAATTTAATATAAAACGTTATCTAGGTAAGGGTACGTCCACATCTGGCGATATGCCGCGAATGTACAGATCGCGTGCGTTTTTGTTCGTGCGCCGCTCCTGCGCTGCCCGCGCTCAGTTCGCGCGCAACTTAAGCGCCGTACGCGATCAGCGCGCGGGCGGCTGACTACTGAGTCATTAAACGGAACTGTAACCGCGTGCAGGTCGCGCCCCTTTTACGAGCCTTGCATAAGTTGCGCTAAAGAGGCGCACCAAACCATTCTTACACAATTCATGCTCGCAAACAGCTCGCGAGCTGCACATTCGCGGCGCATTCGGCAGATGTGGACGCACCCTAAAGTTCATTACAATTGAACAACAGTTGTAGCAATTGTCGCAGTTGTAGGCTGGCGGTATGACGTAGATAAAGCGGATTGTATAAAACACATAGATCTTGAATTCGATTCAAGTAAAATGTTTATTCTAAAGGCACATACATATATAAGCCGACTGAAATCACGTTTCAAAACCATTTTATATATTCCCTAATAATGCAAGCGTCGTAAATAATTACATAGATTTTGCATATTGTATTTCAAACTTATTTTTCTATTGCGTGTTTTTTAAACAATAATCTTACCTCAAAGAACCTTAACGTTTCCAATGTGAGATCATAGTCTTCTGTCAGGCAGTTATTAATAAGCGCCAATAATAATGGCCATTCTGACACCTCTCCATCACCAACCAACCAGTTGGAGAACTCTGGAAATTTTTTAATGTCAATTTTTGGCTGAATCCCGAAATCAACAGAATGGCACTCCCACTAGTAAGGTAGTTGACTGATTGCACTGGTGAAATAACCTTTGAGGTCAGAGCTAATTTCACGATGTATATGTCGCAGCCAACTAGCTTAATTAGCCATTCAATTAACAGCCTAGCCGTTTAACTAAACGGCGCCGTTTAACTAGTGGCCTGAAAGATGTTCAGCCAGTTGATTAAACAGCTAGGCAAATGACTTGGATCGAGGACGTTTCATAACTTGCCTAGCCTGTTGACCGTTAATTTAAATTTAATTCCACTTTCTGCCACTCTCAAACCCGAAACGAAACTCTTCAGACTGTCAATATGGCGTCGGACCACAACTCTGATGGTGCTTTCCAAATTTTCATGAGAAACAACAAGTACAATGGAAGAGTGTAGTGACAATAATAATGTGAATTTGACTCAAGAAATTTAATTTTAAAAGAAATCTTTTTTATGTCATATGTATACTTTTTTATTTCTGCCAAATAATGACTCCATCGTACGAACGGCCTAAGCATTAGCCAAGCTAAAGCCGCAAGTTAAAGGCCAGGCTGTTAATTGAACGGCTAATTAAGCTAGTTGGCTGCGACATATATAGTAATAATAAATGTATGGAAAACTTAAGCAAGGCACCGTACCGTGGGTGTGAAATCACGATTCCATTTATGTCCAAATACGAAAGATAATTACTATAATAATACAATATAATATACTATATAATTCCTTGGTACGTTTACAAATCATGTTCGGTGAATAAAAAAATGATTATCGTTTTGACGAATAGGTGACTACTTTCTTCGTTCGGGCTATATTCCTAAAACTTGATTTCAGAGTTGCTTTAAAAAATTCTTTGCAATTCAATTCAATTCCAACGCTGCTTGGAACTTAAATCTATTTCCAATCTAGGATTTTATTCTTTAGGCTTTAAATTAACTAAGTAACTCAGAACATTTAACACATATTTTATAACTATCCTCACTTTTGGTTATAAAACCATATTTTGTTATAATTTATGCTTTCATCAATTTACTGCATATTTCGATCGAACAGCACAACTACACTATGATCCATATTTAAACTCATTTATAGTCATATTCTCTCAAAAAAAGAAGTATACTTAATACTAACCATTGATGAGATCCGAAGAGTCAATTACGCGTAGACACTTTGCTAGTAGAGCAGTAGTAAGCGCTGCCTGGTGGACGAATGACGAATTATTACTGGCTGGTAATAGCCAGCTTTCTACACCTAGAAATAGAGTATTCAAAACTACACAAATAAAATTGTACCATTCTGGCGTTTTCACTGGTATTTTTCTTGTATTATGACCAGCATTGTGTCATCGCAACCGAAAAACCGAAACTTTTTAAAAAGGCAGTGGAGAATGACTTAAAAATTTTAATACACTATTATAACAAAACAACTGATTAAGAGGATTCTCTGTGGTTCTTCTAAACACCCAAAATCATATACAAAAATCTCGTGTCACAATATTAGTTACCATACTCCTCCGAAACGGCTTGACCGATTTTTATCAAATTTTATATGCATATTCAGTAGGTCTGAGAATCGGCTACTATCTAGTTTTCATACCCCTAAATGATAAGGGTTGTACAATGTACACCCCTAAAATTTTATTTTTTTAGATAATTTTTTTTTGTTTTTATTTCTTTATGATACAGCATACAAAATACATACAACCCTTAAGTTTCACCCCTCTACGATCAACCCCTATTTTTTATTTGTTAATTAAAATCTTATAACTTGAACTCTGAGGTTTATATAGAGAAAAGTTCACAGAAAAACCAAAAAAGTTTCAGAAAACCGAACAGTCTCTAGGGTAGCATAGCAAAATGTTCCATGTTGGTAGATATGTACTTAAAAGGAAGGCTAACTAAAATCACATTAAGGGAGACATTAAGTTCGCGGGGGCAGCTAGTTATTATAAAATTATTCGCCCCGGACCGAACCTAGAACCAGTAAATAATGTCATCCTAAACATAAGACTACTTAATAGGAAAATAATTCATACCTTCCAGGAAGTTTGACCGGAATGTACGTGCTAAGTGTGCAGCTATTGTTGGGTGGCATTCCTAAACATTTACTTAGATTAAAAAAAAAAAAGTTTAACTATCTTAATTATAACTAAAATACGCACACAAAACATCACGACAGTTTTAAAATGCAAATAACTAAAATTTAATAAACGCATTATCTGTGTCCCTTCTTCCTATTTATTTATTTAATTACAGCCCATGCATGGCCAAACTCAGACTAAAAACAACATAAACCTACAATAAAATACAATTAAGTTATTTACAAAATTGACAGTAAATGCTATCCTCTTATCTCCTCTAAGTATACTCTCAAATCACAGTATACTATGCAATGTATGGACAATTAACTGTAACGTAAGCCATATTAACTTATATTACAGAAAATATTTCAAGTTAAGGCTGAAACATAATATTAAATATAAACAAATAAAGAATGTAGGCTCGATAATCGATATTTTCAAATGCGTAAAATATATCGCCATATTATATTATTACCATATGTTATTTCTATATCGAAATAATAAACCATGGTAATAAATACCTGGCTTTAGGCCACGTTTCACAATCAGGCCGATTCAGTTTTAAAATGTTTTCCTAGACATAAATGAAACCTGTTTAATTTATTGTAATAGTGTTATTTCTCAGAAAACAAATGTGGTAACATTAAGAAACAAGAGAAGTTCGTTCGAAGTTTTTTTCTATCCTAATATTTAAGTAATATAAATTGTAAGATAATTAAATTAATAGCAGTTATTAATTTTACAATCATTAATTAAAACATTCTTAGAGTAGCAATTAAACTTTCGCTCATATTCACTATGCACGCAATAGATAATTAATTGAAAAATAAACTATTGTTTTATTATGTAATGATGTCCATTTCTAAACTTTAATTTTAATGGGATCCTATTGCAGGATTTATTTAATATTATGCGCCATGCTTTAAACTTTCAAAAGAGATCTTGGGACATTATTATGAATTTTTAAAAAAATAATGCGTAATATATTTTAGAATAGTTTGAAGGCTATTATAATTAATATTTTACCTTCATTAAAGTATCACAGTAGTCAAGCCAAGAGAAGAAACTGGTTAATTCTCTATACCCATGGAACTTGTTATAGCTTTTGTCGCCAAAATCCTGAGCGACATATCTGAAACGTAATCACATGAGAAATGACAGAAGCTGCGTCTAGGCTTATTTAATTTTAATATCTCTCATCCGGCGTATTACCTATATACTTGACCAGCTGTCCATGAGCGAAATTATCATATATATAGGTGATCATAAAAGATGAAAAATGTGAGGGTAGATTTTACATACAATAATTCTATAACAGGCCCTTACATAACATTTGAAGACGAATTAAACTCATTTTACAACGATTTTTTTTTTAAATGTTGAAACTATATCCAGGTTGACTCAACCTCTGACAATGTTTGCTTGTCCACAAACCCTTAGACGAAGAAATTTTAATTAAAAATATAATTTTGCAAATAAAACATATTATGTTAGTTAATAAAGTATATTTTGAATTAGTAAATGAATACTCACGCCCAAGTAATATTTAGTTGATCAACATCATTAGGATCTACATCATTTGGTATCGCTCTGTATTTGGTGCATAATTTGTCCACAATTGTCTCACAGCACGGGCTACAACTGGTTATTAAGTTGGCTATATCATCCTCCGGAAGTGAAGACACTATCATTATACCCTCACAAGCTCGTAGGACCACTTGGTTATCCTTAAATTAAATATTACTACTTTATATAAGCCGTGGCATAATTAGTCTGGAGAAAGTCGGCTATTGATTAGCATTTCACACATTTGTTTTTTTACCGATTTCAGAAACAAACAATACATTTCTAGCAATCACAGAAAATAATCACCAACAGTTATCGATAATAGATAGTAACTAAACGATTCTAAATTAAATTACAATAATATTTTTATAGACTAGTTCATTCGAAATACCTATTTTGTTATTTCATGAGACATTAAAACATCATGTAAAAACCAGATACCAAAGATTATAACAATAAAGCTAATATGTTATAAAACCTCTTTTAACTTTAACGCTGTTACTTACCGCACTATTTAAATATGAGAGTAACAGATCAATCAAGAGAAACTTATCGTTATCGTCATACACTGTTTTCTGACTTTTTACAGACGCGTCATCGGCCGCTGAGTTATTGAAACTGTCTTTTCTCACAATCGCCATTTTTATTGGTGGCGTCATATCTACATCGAACAACGGATTTTTCTTTGGTTTATTAACTTTTCTTTTAACTGGAATTAGTTGTTGAATATCTTCTGGTATTGACATTAAGCTGATTCTGTCTTCAATAAATGGTGTTGTGAATATGTTAGCAAGACCTGATTCTTTTCTTACAAGACCACAGATGGTTAGGAGAAGTTCCACTTCCTCCTTTTCTGTAGGTGACGCTGGACTTTCATTGCATTGGACAAGCATTCTCTGGAATAATAAACTTTTACTACTTTATTTGCATAAAACCTTATACGGAATTATGTGGTTTGACTATTAGACCAAAACTTTGTGACATAAGCCACAAAGTTATTAATTAGGTCAGAAGGTGGAAATACTTACAAAAAAATCGTCTTATTTTTTTTATAAGGCAGCTTATCTTATATTTTTTGCAAACATATTTCAAATCCATAAATCGAAATATGGTTAAATCATAGAATAGTCCATCCTTTTAAAAAGTTTTATAATTTTCAAACTATTAACTCTCACCTGCAGTGGCCGGTAAACATGAACGCTATTAAGACATGGTTGTTGAGTTCTTCTTAATAGTGTTGTTGCTAAATTCAAAGCCATGGCTCTTGCCCCTGGAGGCCTATCGGTTACTGCAAGAACCGCTAATGCATCTAATACACCTATGGATCTCTGTACCACTGCTTCTAAACAAGGCCCAACGGTTCCGCCTTGCTGTTCTTTTTCTTCATCAACAATTAGCTGCAAAAAAATATTTTTGTTAATTCTTAAAAAGGTCTTTATAGCTAAAACAGAAACATGAACAGGTTGCTAATTACTTATTACTCTTAAAGAAAAATACTTGCATATAAACACAAAATCAAAATCAATCAAATCATGTGCCTATAAAAACAAACTATTAAATATGGTGTAATCTAATATAGTAAGAATAAAATAATGTAATTGTAAATGCACTATTTTACCTTTAAATAGACCTTGACATCATAATATTTACAATGAACAAATACTAAAAATATTCTGTGATTGTTCATTGTTATATAATGGATTGATAACAATAAATATTTTTGGAATTCATATATATTAAAATATATAGTTTAGTTAGTTTCTTCTTTGAATATAGAAAAAAAAAAAAAATGCTTTTGTACCTTGTGACTCATAGCAGACCAGAAATAACACTAATTATTTAGTATTTATTTATTACGGTATTTGTTTTACGGTAATATTATATTCTACTTGTTGATGCCAGCAACTTTTACACAAAAATAGACTTACTTTTAAATGTATAAGAAAGCTAATTTATAGAAAGTAAGGTGAGAAAAAGTTAAGTTAAAAAAACAAAATACCTGAAACATCTGATGTAAATGATGTGGAACTCTGGTATCTTCAATGTGCACTTTTGTTGTTTCATCATAAGCTTGATAAAAGTTCACTATCATCTTCCAATGGTATTCAAAGTCTTCATACTTTGTGGCCGGCGGAGCTAGCTGAAATGAGAAAGTATACACATTTACAAGCCACATGATAATAAACATTAAAAATATGAAATGAATGAAGTGACAGATTACTGTCAAACATATTTGAGAAGTTTATTCAGAAAAAAGGTATGAGTTTTAAGCAAAAGTTTCACTCAATACAATAAGTCTGCTGTGTTATGTACATAGTAAAAGCCGGTTTTAGTGATCTTTGACAATTACTAAGTAAAATATTACAAGAAGATCTACTACTATAGTTACATGCAAAAATTCTAATATGAATTGAGGTGTTTCATTATAGGATTTTTTAAATACTTACTACGTCCGCAGCAGTTTGCAACACATCAGAAAATCTGCTTAACATTGTAAGCACTTACATTTATCAATACATATTAAAGAAAAACTTGTATGTTGCATAGAAGAACTGTTTTCAATAACTTAAATTATTAAAATATTTATTGAAGGGAATAGATTTAATGGCTCGTTCATGTATAGTAAACAACCTTAAATTCAAGAAATGTAAATCGCACTTTGATAAAACTCAGTGTTTCATTTTCATACATGAATAATTATTTTTGCATTTTTCAAATCTGAATTTTGGTTCTTGACAAATCGCAATCGAGTTATCATCAATTGTCAGACCGCAGATGGCAGTATGGGGCATATTTCTAATATATCTGTGGTTCGGAGTACTTAAATGCCACAGAATCTGCGCGAAAAAAAGCTTCGTGGGCTCAGATTAAGTACGTAATCTAATTATAATCTGTAATGTTATGGCAATCTGAGGTCATCCGTCGTAGGATTTCAGGGGCCTTAGTCAAGATGCCTTAACAGTAGTGTATGTAGAACGTCAAAAACTAAATTTGTATGAAAACTTTTCGACACGAACTGTCATTTCCATACAAATTTAGTTTTCGACTTTCTACATACACTACTGTTAAGCCATCTTGGCTAGACCCCCCAGGTCGCTGCAGTGCTTACTGAATACTGATAAATCACCATTAATAATATTATCAACACTGTTACATGATTATATTTCGATAGTAAGTATGTTGATACTTAATATGATAAAATTAATAGTAAATATTTTTAGTGAATAAATGAAATAATGATAAGAAATAAAAATGAGATATTTGATAACTTTAAACCATTACAAATTATTTATTACTGGTCAGGAGCCTATAAAATTGTCATTTCTATATGTGTAAAATAATATTGGCTTTACAAAATCAGATTAAATAATCACAACTTAAGAAAGATTGCGTTGCACTAATGCCTATGGCGTACTAGGTATGCCTGAAAGTTGAAACACGTAAAAAATCTTTATGTATAGCTTTTTAATTACACATAAATGATATTTCTATCATAATCAGTCTCCGACGAAATTAAACTTCAAGACAGTAGTAGGATCAGATAGGTGAAGACACAAGTGTACTAGATAATAATCGATTTGACTTGATTTATGGATACTATTTTGATAAATTAACGATTACTTCTGCAAAATAGCCTATTTTATTAGATCACATAACCACCACCACCATCTTCCGCATATTTTAAATAGTCGGTATGAAAGAAAAATAAAGCATGGAGAGTCCCTTAGGTTAAAGGCATCTATGCTTTATCTAGGCTTCACTAGTACTATGAATTAGTATTTGAATACGCGCAGCAATTTTACTCGCAGCTTTTTAATAACCTTCATGATATGAATATATATTAATTATATCTAATATATAAAATTCTCGTGTCACAGTTTTCGTTGCCATACTTCTCCAAAACGGCTCGACCGATTCTCATGAAATTTTGTGTGCATATTGGGTATGTCTGAGAATCGGACAACATCTATTTTTCATCCCCCTAAATGTTAAGGGTAGTCCACCCCTAAATAATTTTTTTATTTTTAGATATTTTTTTCTGTTTTTTATGATACAGCATTAAAAAATACATACAAACCCCTAACTTTCACCCCCTCTACGATCAACCCCTATTTTTTTATTATAAATGATATACCTATATGGCAAAACGACGTTTGCCCGGTCAGCTAGTTATATATATACATATATATATATAAAGTTTAATTTTAGTTAAAGTACCTCATCTTCAAAAAAATATTACCAATTATAATTTAATAACAATTTTATTATTATTAACCATTTATAAATATATATAGTTTTTTGAGTTTAGGGGCTGAATTGAAGAGGGCGCAATACATTTAGCTTCTTTTTTAGTCGAGTGTATAATATATTCCCTTATCCCTACTATCATAATATAACTAACACGCCTATAAACAACAACATTATTGTTTAATTACCAACTATCATATCTAATATTATTTAATACGATCTTATTGCGCTAACATAACACTGGGAACATAGTCTAAAAAGTGTAATTATTTTAACAGATTGAAATGTCTGACGACGAAGTTATACGTTTTGAAATTACGGATTATGATCTAGACAATGAATTTAATCCTAACCGAAGTAGGAAAGCAAAGAGAGAACATCAAATATATGGTAAGATTTGATATTTTTATTGACAGACTTGTGGCTGGATCTTGTCACACAAACTGGCCCTAACCTTTCACCGTAAACTCCCAGAAAGTAAATGTTTTCTTATAAACAGTCGTAATCGTGTTTCAGGTGTGTGGGCAAAAGACAGTGACGAAGAAGATAATGAGGACAACATTAGACAGAGGGTTCGTAAGCCTAAAGACTTCTCTGCTCCCATTGGTTTTGTTGCTGGTGGGGTACAACAGGCGGGAAAGAAAAAGGAGGAAAAAAAAGGTTTATTTAAGAAAATATACAATCATTCAATGTTTCTTAAAAACTGATTGTAGATGACATTATGCAATCTATTAACACATCTGTCTGCTAAATAATTTAATTCTATGTACATTAGTTCCTCATATAAACATACAAATTTATTAAATTTTCAGAATTGGAGTCAAAAGAGGCATCAACTTCAAGGCCCCAGTATATAAACAGCTCTGATGAAGATGAAATAAACAATCCAGATGAGACTGAGACAGCTGGTATCAGGCGAGCAGGTCAGGGGATGAGGCAGCAGAACCTCGGTGGTAACATGGGAGCGTGGGAGAAACACACTAAAGGAATTGGAGCCAAACTTCTTTTACAGGTTCATCATAAAAAAAATTATTTAAATATTATGAATGAATGCTAACCTTTCAAAAAATTTTATGTAACCTTTGATAGCATGACCATATTTAATATTACTTATGTTCTTGTTAATACAATTCAAATAAAAATCTCCATTATTTTTCACTTTGCAGTGCTTTTGAAGTAAAATATTGAAAATATTTCAGTGGTGTACAGTTTATAATAATCAGTGATTCTTTAAACATACCACAATAAAATGTTTCATACAAAAGATATTTTTATTTTATACAATATTACTTTTTCTACAGAAATAACTTTATTTACATTTTAATAATTGTGAAATAATATGTTCCAGATGGGTTACAAACCAGGGAAAGGGTTGGGCAAAAGTCTTCAAGGTATATCTGCACCAGTTGAAGCTACTTTGAGAAAAGGCAGAGGTGCCATTGGAGCATATGGACCGGAAAAGTCAGTGGTATGGTTACAGAAAGTGCTTTTGATCTACTTTATAATAATTTTAGTTAATCAGTGTATCCCCAAATATGTAAACTATAACCATGTTAGTATGGGTGCTTAATGTAGACTTTTATTTTCATAATGTAAAAATTATTGTCTTACACAGAAGAGCTATAAAATACTATACATAAAAATGTAGTTTTAAAATAATTTTTAGCAAAAGGCAAAAAAGGAGGAAGAAAAGCGTCTTAAAGAGAAAGCGGAACAGGAGAAAGGAGCAACAGCTAAAACATACAATTGGAAGAAATCTCATAAGGGCCGTTACTTTTACAAGGATGCAGCTGATGTTATTCAAGAGGGTAAACCCACTATACATACTATTAGCAGGTATTTAATAGACATTGCATATGATATAGAGGAATTAATAATGTAACATTATAATTCTAAGGTTAATAAAAATAATGATATTTTATGAATAATAATTTAATGTTTCTTTATAGTCTGTGTGAAAGGTAACTGTGGTGTCATATAATTTATTCACAAAAATAATATATTTTAATTTTCTCATATTAAGTATTAATTGATAAGTATCACTATTAAGACTTTACTCCTTATACACTTTCTCCACAGACTCTTGTGTACATTAAAAAAAATGTTTATATATAGCATTCAGGTAGCGTAGATACTGGATTATTATTGTCAATTTTTTTTTTTAGTAACGAACTATCTCGAGTGCCAGTTATCGATCTAACGGGTCGCGAGAAGCGCGTCCTTAGTGGATATCATGCCTTACGTGCAGCTGCGCCCCGATATGAGCACGAACCTAGAAGAGACTGCACCAACTTCACGCTGCCTGCGCTCGCGCATAACCTCGAGCTGATGGTCGAGTGCTGCGAACAGGTAGACATTTCAATTCTATTTTAATTAATTGATTGACAAGACAACCTAGTGAACTCCGTATCACCTACATATATTTATATTAAAAAATTTTCAAGTGACCATTTTTAATTTCTAAAGACAAAATTCATTAAATATTTTTCAGCTAGGAAGAGTTTACATAAGGAAATTCAATAGTTGTTTTTTTATTTTTTTTCACATATTATTTTGTTTCCCATCGTTTAAACATTCTTTGATTTTCTATCTATTCAAATATTTCAAGATCAAAATTAGACAAATCGGTCCAGCCATTCTCAAGTTTTAGCGAGATAAACTAACAACAATTAATTTATAAATATAAACATTCTCTAAAGTTGTGCCTAGAGTAAACCGGTGCCTCATCATTGCCATTTCGTTATTATGATGAACTTTAGTGTATACATTTTTATTGATGCTTTCATTCTTCTGTTCCTGTGGAATAAACAGTTTATTTGAAAATGTAAGTTTTAAGTTATTGTTTCTTTAATTTCAGGATATAATTCAAAACGCCCGTGAGCTTCAACAAGCTGAAGATGAGATAGTGGTATTAGAGAGAGACTTAGATGAGTGTAATTTGAAGCTCAAAGATCAGGACCAAATTATTAATAAAGTTCAAACTGTTTTAATGAAAGTGGAAACCTTGAATCAGCCTGATGTGTCCCTTGAAACAGCATACGAAGTTCTTTCTGATTTAAAGGTAAATAAATACAATTACACACTAACAGAGGTAGCCTATACTCTGAATTTTTATTCCGTAGAATTCTGACATTTCACAAGTGTTGCTACTAACAGTTCTCCACCGAAAAAGGGATAAATTTGACTTATTTGAGGGCAATGAAAAAATCCTACGTATTTTTTTTATGTTTTACCTACAAAAAGGTAAATTTTAATATTTTCTTACTCAAGTGACCTAATACAAAAATAACAAATATTACAATAATACGAACAATATATCGAATTAACTTTAATTACTTTATTTTATTCTTTAGCTGGCATCACTGCCTACTAATTCCAGGTTTAATAAACCTTTAAAACATTAACTAACAATAGAATGTATGTATAGACTCAGATGTCCAGACTCTTATTGGAATTGAAAAATGTGCCCGGCCAAAAACGTTTGCCATCTCTGACATGTCATAAAATGATAGCTGTCAGAATTTTACGGAATTAAAAATCAGAGTATAGTTTATTCTCAAACCTGATGTCAATGTGAGTGTATTGTTATTCATATGAACACAATTAACAATGAGCTCCAAGAAAATAAATGCTGGATACTGAATATTCTACTGTCGTATATATGTGTCGGAGAAATATATCGTCCCACCATCGTTATGGACATCGTTATTAGCGGGCTAATGTGGGTAAAGTGCAAGCACAAAAGACACGAATAATTATCGTACAGTATTTAATTTAGATTGATTTATATTAACATTTTTAGCTTCAATTATAACGAGCAACGGGTTCAAGGCACCAATCTTACTTTTCACAAATCACCTAAACTCGGTCCAACGTCTCATAACCACAATGTTCCACTGAATACTCAATGAGAATCTCAATTATTAACCAAAGTTACAATAATAATCAACGGTCAATTGACTCGATGAGAACATTTCCTGATAATCAGAGCATTCCCCGACATATATATGTTGTACAAAAAATATATACTAAAGGACTACCGAGGACCAGTGTATATGTATATACATATCTAATATATAAAATTCTCGTGTCGCGGTGTTTGTAGTTAAACTCCTCGGAAACGGCTTGACCGATTCTCATGAAATTTTGTGTGCATATTGGGTATGTCTGAGAATCGGACAACATCTATTTTTCATCCCCCTAAATGTGAAGGGTAGTCCACCCCTAAATTATTTTGTTTTAATTTTTAGATATTTTTTTTGTTTTTATTTTTTTATGATACAGCATTAAAAAATACATACAACCCCTAATTTTCACCCCTCTACGATCAACCCCTATTTTTTATTATAAATGATATACATGGCAAAACGACGTTTGCCCGGTCAGCTAGTATACGTATATATTTGTTTCAAAAATAAATATAAATATTAAAAACTATAAAATAAACTTAATTTTTTAGGAGTCAAGCCCATTGGAGTATGAAATGTTTGGTCTCGGTACAATCGGAGCTACTATAGTGAGTCCGCTATTCAGTTCACTGTTGGCGAAGTGGGATCCATTACAAAATCCAACCGAACCAGTCGAAACCTTTCGTAAATGGCAATTGTTGCTCACGGAGGAGTCTTATAATACGTTGCTGTGGCAACACTTTGTTCCTAGTATCACTGCTGCGGCTGAGTGAGTATTTTTTAGAGGATTTTTAAAAATCTATCTATTTATTAAGGCGCCCAAATATTAGTTAAAGTATTCTCAATATATTTAATGAACATATAAATTTTCTTATTTTTACTAAATAAAATTTAGAAAATTTGAATTAGTGGGAAACGGAGCGTTCAAGTATTACGTCACGCAATTTTTGGAGATTATTGATCCCTCCCTCCCCATGTAACGCGCCGTAACGTTTTTCTGTACCCAAGTACAGTAAAACATTTCGTGACCACCTAGTGACTCTTTATACCTAAAAGTTACGATTATGTGGTGTAAAGAATAAGAAAGTAATTCAATCCCCGCCCGCATCGTAACGTTTTACGCCCCCCCCTCCAAAATTTGTTACGTAATACTTGAACGCTCCCTACTAAAAAAATACATTTTTGTTTAATTAAGTCATATATTGCTTTTTGATTTACATTTAATTATTCATTAATTATAAAGTCATAACCATTAAGTCATAATAACCATAGTCAAACCTACAAATTTTTTTAGAGTATGGAACCCGCGAACATCAGATCCCATGCTACGTATCTTCGAAGCGTGGGTGGAAGCCTGTCCAGGCTGGTTGTTGGTAAACTGCGCAGCTAAATGTGTCACACCCCGAATATTAGCTGCAGTAAGGGCCTGGGACCCCACCAGTGACACCCAGCCACTCCACGAGTGGGTTCTGCCTTGGCATCCTTTAGCTGGTAAGAAATAACCCATAGAATACTTCGTGGTTTAAAATTATGGAACATGTTTTTCTATTGTGCTAATTACGCGCGTTTAAATAAATAACTCTTCACTCATACCAAATCGTTTCTGGGATAATTTACATGTATACATTGTCTTATCTTTTATATAAAATTCTCTTGTCACAATGTTAGATACCATACTCCTCCGAAACGGCTCGACCGATTTTTATCAAATTTTATATGCATATTCAGTAGATCTGAGAATCGGCTAATATCTATTTTTCATACCCCTAAGTGATAAGGGTAACCTCTATCATTTTATTTTTATTTTTTGGACGAAATTTTAATTTTTTTTATAATGTGCCATTAAAAAATACATACAACCCTAAATTTTCACCCCTCTACGATTAACCCCTATTTTTTGTTATAGTAGATTTTATTGAATTAAAAATGTCTCCTAGAAATAATATAGGTGTATGGCAAAACAACGTTTGCCGGGTCAGCTAGTATTATTATAATTGTATGATTCAAGCTGTACATTTGGCTCACTTAGAATTTCTTAGTAGCATTGAACCAACAATCTTTATTAAGATTTTAAAGAAATAAAGCTAAGTAGGTATAATAAAAACTTTATTCATGGCAAATAGGTTGTGACAAAATTCATATATCGCTAGTCTCCATACTAGGGAGTCCCTGTGTTGTTGGTAACTAGATAACAATTAGTCAGTGGTACATGGTACATGTTTATAACAGTTTTTTGAAAAAAAAGAAGGTTTAGTGTTACAACTAATCAAACTCAAGTCTTATAAGACATTAAGTATGTGTGAATGTGTGAGTGCGCTATGTCTGTGTTAGTTTGTGGCATCTCAGCATTAACGTAACGTGAGCGCCAGGAGAATCTTAAGATATCCTACCACATACCTATTGCTTATTAATTAGTTATTCATGAAATGAAATTACCAATATAAAAGTAAGTTTCTGAGATCAAACTAGCTTTATTATTGAATTAAATTTAAGTATTTTCTTCTTATGTTATTACTTTGACATTATTGTTTATTACTTATTATGTCTTTGGCTTATGTTCTTTGACAATATATAGATCTTAGATTTAAATCACAGGTTAAACAAGTTAAATAACTCTCACTTAATACATGATTTGTAAACACGGTCGGAAACAATTAAACTTGTATTTTTTTTAAAACTAAATGTCAAATTTATTGAATGATTATGTCGTACGTGGCTCGGCAGTATTTTGGTAACAATATAAACAGTGTAAACTTTAGTAATTAGCGCTAAGTATGTCGTATGTCAAAAATGAATTACATTTTGACATACGGGAATACAAGTTACCCTATAGCGACGCTAAATCACCCACCAAAATACAAGTCATTTCAAGTTTGAAGTTTTATGAAGTTCACATTTTTTTTTAAATTTATTTATTATACAAAGTCCATTGGCACATGAAGTTTACACTGTAATAAGTATACATATACGAATCCTGCCAACATATTTACGATTTAAACGTGAATGGTTCCAATTATTATAAATACTAATTATAAACGTTTCGATTTTTAGGTGAGGCCCTGAACGCAACAGTATACCCCTTAATACGATCGCGTCTAGCCAGCGCGTTATCCGCTTGGCACCCAGCCGATGCCTCCGCTCGTCCGCTACTGGCCGTTTGGAAGAATGCCTGGGGAAGCGCATTGACTGCGTTATTGCATCATCATATTGTGCCAAAATTGGAACATTGCCTGCAGCATGCGCCCTTGGAGCTCGTTGGAAGGGAAAATAGTGAGTATTTCATGTTTAATTATTGTGTTGATCTGGCAATTAAATGCTTTTTAGTTTTGTAAGGATCTGAATAATTTTGTGTGAATGTACCCTTAGTTATTGACGGTCAAAACTTCGAACGCAAGTCGGTTATCCAATCGAGTATATTGTATAACCAATTCCATTTTTGCTAAAGTATTAATACAATTTGTACTGAAGAGCAGTGTTGGCCTTGTGGCTTCAGCGTGCGACTCTCATACCTGAGGTCGTAGGTTCGATCACCGGCTGTGCACCAATGGACTTTCTTTCCATGTGCGCATTTATCATTTGCTCGAACGGGTAAACATCGTGAGGAAACCGACATGTCTTAGACCCAAAAAGTCGACGGCGTGTGTCAGGCACTGGAGGCTGATCACCTACTTGCCTATTCGATTTAAAAATGATCATGAAACAGATTCAGAAATCTGAGGCCAAGATCTAAAGTGGTTGTAGCGCCACTGATTTTTTTTATTGATATAATTTGTAACCTATAAAATAATATTACCAATATAATTTTACACGTTTTTAAACATAAACTCGTTTTAAGTTTGAACGGTTAAGATGGCCGAGACTTCTACTTAAAATTGATTCAGTAGGATTTGAGATATTTATTATTATATTTATAATTACTTTTATTCGAGATTTATTTTAACTACAATAAAATTTGCAGCCGCATGGCTCTGGTGTGTGGAATGGGCGGACTTAGTAGGGGCTCCGACGATAGCGGCTCTAGCTGGTCGGGCTTTGTTACCACGTTGGTTGGGCGCATTGGCCGCTTGGCTTAATACGGCGCCGGCGCACGCCACTGTACTTGCCTCGTATACTCAGTTTAAGGTGAGATATATTTGCTTTTAGTGTAACGTCACTTAATTTAACGAGAAACAAGTTTCTTTTCGTATAGTCAACTGTCTTTAACATAAAAAAAAAATTTGCGTGCGTACAATGTACACAATATGTCAGAAGTGAAACTTCTTTGGCAAACTTTTTAAATTTTTTAAGTCTTGTTCAAATTTATACAAATCTAAAAAAATCAAAGACTTAGAGGGAGGGAAAAAGGAAGATATGTTAAGAATTTATTGAATTTAATTGTCATTAAAATATTACAAGTAAGTATCGAAAATTAATACAAATTATATTTTTTTTTAAATTTATTTTTTCTATCATAACACGTGTCATTCGAGATTTTAATAAATTATTTTGCATAAAGTATAAAATACTAATATTTCATAAATTATTTTTACGAAATTTACCTTATAAAAATAGAATTTCTATAAGGTAATTCGCCCTTCTCACTCTCTCTCAATCGGTCTCTCCCTTTTCTTAGACAAAAACGCTACACATCTTCGTGAAGTATCCGTAAAAATTTTACCCTCTAAAGAAGTTTCACTTCAAAAATGCGCAATATATATATACTTGGAGATTACATAATATGTTTCTTTTCCTCGGTTTCACTCACTTTATAGCTTCATCGTATGAGCAAGTGTTTTTTTTAACCTTCTAGTGGAGCCTATTTTGCTAATATGTATACGTTTTGCTTGTTTCATTGTTATATATTTATTCCTAGTAAAGAACATTTCATACAAATTAACTTTTATAGTAGACGCAATAGACTTTTTCCTTTTAATACTAATGGTTTAATATAGATATATATATTCAAAAAAAGATGTTCACAACATTATTTACGTTCCCTGTGAGCTAAAATGATGTTAATAAAGGTATTCATTAAAATTAGTTATGTATTTCAGAAAATGTTCCCAGCAGAAGTCCTCAAAGAACCGGTAGTGCGAGATGCTTTTAGGAAAGCCCTAGATATGATGAACAGAAGCACAGATATCGATGCCGTAGAACCTCCCCCACCACCACGATTCACTATCACGGACAAAGAATCGTCCTCCAGAATCGCCGATGTGTTAGCGGCCTCTACTCAAAAGAGCTTTTCCGAATTACTCGAAAGCAGATGTATGGAAAAGGGAATTACTTTTGTCCCCATAGCGGGCAAAAGTCGAGAAGGCAGGCCTATATATAAAATTGGTGAACTGCAGTGCTATGTGATAAGAAATATAGTGATGTATTCGAATGATAGTGGACGGAATTTTATTCCGATTAGTATGGAGAAGTTGTTGAAAATGGTTGAGGAATAAAGTTTTTAACTGTCTTTTTTTTAATTTCGACAATACTATGATATATATTAAACGTCATCAGGGTATAATGTGACAACTTTCTTTCAAACCTTATTTGGCCCAGGTTTTTAAATATGACCTCGTAGACTACACTGAGCAAGAACCTCAGTTTGCACGCTCGTCGATTTACATCAGACGAGCGAATGCTCATTCTATCCCCACTATATCAAATTCTTTTAGTGTAAACAGGCGTAGAGCATTCTTTCATTATTCTTAAGCCGGTTGCAGACCGAAAACTAAGCTATGCCAAGGCTAAACTAAGCTATGCCAAGCAAGCTAGGCTAAGCTAAGCTAGAAATAAATAGCGTGCACACCAACAGCTAACCCAAAGCTCAGTCAGTGTTGCATACTATGTGCAAAGGGTGTGCGGGGTAGCGGGAGGGGCTTAGCTTAGCTCGTGTAGCTGCGCATCGGCATACACAACTAACTTAGCTTCGCATATTTAAGTTAGCTCTCACAGCTTAGTTCGCATAGTTTGCGGTCTGCACAGACGTATGGAAAATTGCGTCAGCTATGCGAGCTAAACTAAACTAACGTAGCTTAGCTCTTGGTCTGCAACGCGTATTAGTGCGTTCAAAGATTCTATGGAATATTCTAAGAATGCTCGCTCGCACGATGTAAACGGCGCTAGAGCGCGCGAACAGTTGCTTAGAGCGTTCTTGCGTGATCAGACGTGCTCGCGCCCCTGAGCGGTCTCTTCAAAGCGTTCGTGTATTTTAGCTCTAGATCTTTGTTCGTTTAAAGGTCGATTTACATCAAACGAGCGTATGCTCATTCTATCCCCACTACATCAAATTCTTCTAGTGTAAACAGGCGTAGAGCATTCTTTCGTTGTTCTTAGTGCGTTCGCTAAGATTCTATAGAATATTCTAAGAATGCTCGTTCGCTTGATGTAAACGGCGCAAGAGCGCGCGAACAGTTGCTTAGAGCGTTCTTGCGTGTTCTGACGTGCTCGCGCCACTGAGCGGTCTTTTCAAAGCGTTCTTGTGTTCTAGCTCTAGCTCTATGTTCGTTTGATGCAAATTGACCTTAAGCTTAGGTTTGCGCGCTAATAAATTCAGCCTTAGTTGCTCGTTATCGGCAGGAGCGCTGAATTTTTTTTCAAGATTTTGCCTTTAAATACTTGTACCCTACACTTTGAATATTTAGTCTAACTCATGGTCCCAGCACTCAGTCTTCGGAATATCAAAGGTGCATAGACAGCGATTATTCTTCTTGAATGACCCAACAACATAAGGTGTTAAACACTTGAAAGGCAAAACATTTGAAAAAAATATACATATATATAATAATGCTTTTCTATATTATTACCTATTAACTTTCTATATTAGCTGTTTTAGTGAATTGCAGACTAGTTCACCAAGCAAAGTTGATTATATAATAACTAATAAATGTAAAACTATTATTTTATAAGACTGTATTAGTTATACAGTACCTATTAACACTGCTATGACACGATTTAAGACAAGTTTAAGTTAACTAAGAATAAACGAAAGACAAAACCAAGGCGCATTTTAATGTTGTGTTGACAAAGTCTGCTACCTAATGATTTTTCAATCATTTCTTCCATATATAGATCCTGCTCAATTGGTAAGCATTTGTTAGAAAGAGAAAAAAGTTGACCGAAAATAAACTGTAATTCTTTGGGATGATCGCTAGAGAGTATTTTGACCAAATCAAACTGGTCGTCGCGAGGGATACACATTGAGACACCGATAGCGCTTCAACTGGACGATTTATGTCACCCAAACCAGCCAATACTAAGGTCTGAAATGAGAAATTTCATTTAGATAGATAAATCTAAATACACCAAAATTATAAATAGCTAAATTTCTTACTTAGCCTGCGGCTAATTAAACAATAAGCTACCTTACACCTAATGACAATACGCTTACGTTTTCTTCAACGAAATCAAGTAATGAGTGTAATCTATTTATAAAAGTTGAAGTTAAAATCAATTATTCAACCATAAAATCACTGGCGTAGTTTTAAACTATAAGGTGTACGGCAAATACCCACCAACATCTACTGAGCTGTTGTATGTTGATTTCGAAAAGGTCTATTCGATTACAGTCATAGTCGAACGTTGCTCCTTTAATTAAAAAATAGGGTAATTTGGTACTTACCCATTTAAACATTGGAGCCCAGAAGAACACAGTCTTTGGGCCTACAACAATAGAAAGGTATACTGGTTTTGCTAGATAGGAAACAGATCAGTATTCCCGATCGATTCAGGGTATATTTAGTGATTGTAAGGAAACAATAAAATCAATGCTTACCTGCCGGGTGCTCCCATAAAGGTCGCATTAGTTTTGGGACAAATTTATCCGCCACAGAAATTATCGTTTTGTATAATTTCGACATCATATAATAAACTTACACGAACACATACATTGTATTTATAATAGATGTCATATTAAATATAGTGCATTTATATAGTTGTTATTGTCTATATGTAATAAAGGTTACTTGTTCGCACAGTTGGTGAAATAGAATAATTGGTAGTAGTGGTAATAATTGTAAACGATATAAGTAATATAGGTGATAATGTGATGGTTATTTATTTTTCAACATCTTTTATAATGTCATTATCCTCGTAGATGAACTCATTTGTCATTGCCAATTGCCTATTTCTGCATAAATTCTTTTTCGTATCGATACTTTAAATTTAAACTATAAAAGTTACCTTACCTTTTTAATAAATTGTATAAGTACTTACTTACTTTGTTATCATATTATATGTAGTAAAATTGTTGGAATTGAACAAAAATGTTCTTAACATAGTTTGAAATAAACGAGAGAATATAGAAGTAAAGTAAAAATGTTGTTTTGACCGGCTTGTCATGAGCATTGACGAACCCGGTCAACTTTGGAGCGCTGTAACGGCGTTTCCAATTAAAGAAATTTAATAAAAGTATAGAGAAAAATCTTCAGAAAGAGATCCTCTACAAAATTGTTCAGACATAATGTTTTGATAAAATCATAAGAAAAAAGTTATTAAGCAAAAATGGAAATTTTTTCACTGTTTTACTTATAATATCTCTTTGGAATTTTGGCTTTTTGATAAAAGACTTTTATCAATTTATTATTTGTGAATATGAATATTAATTTTTTGTCTTGTGACCTACAGTTATTTGTAGGCAAAGCGATTTTCTACAAAATATGTCTTTACACATTTTTGTATGATGGATAGTTTAGGAGATATAGCCAAAAACGTGTTTTCACCCCTTTTTCCAAGATGGCGGCCGGGGGACAAAGGCGCCAACCCCACAAACTGGTTTAAGCTTGTATTGACCCCCCTACACTACATGTCCCATAAATAAAATTGCGTCCTCTAACAAATGTTCAGCAAATGTAACATGACAATGGACTAATTATCATTTTTTGATTATTTTTAAGAGCCAGCGGCGCCATTGACTTTGGGCACTCAAAGATGATCATGGCCGGTAATGCCCGCGTTGATCAGAAATGGTAAAAACTGACTGATTTTTTAAGTGAAACAAGCTTTCAAAGTCAGTCAGTTTTTAACATATTAGATATGTTAATACAACTTACTACAATTAATGCTCTATATAAAGACAGACACTTATATTTTTTTTAGTAGCTCTTGCTGGTTTCAATAATATTCCTTAATCATCAACTTTGTTTATTAAACAATATAAAAGTATACATTAAAGAAAGACAGGCTTCCATTGTTAAGTTGTTTTAGTACAGGTAACAGTTAATAATAATAAATGTTAACAATATATGAAGACAACAAATACATTAGCATAATAATAAACGTAGGTATGGCATTGTTTATGGTGGTGTGATTTGTGAATAATGACTATAGCATCGTAGTAGAGCTAGGTACTTCTTTATTATAAAAATTAAGGATAATAATATTTCTGTATTTCATTAGGTTTACATTACATTTCTATAATAGTTTACAAGCAGGTACTATAGCAATATTGTTTATCTGTGGCATGGAAATTGGTGGGAAACATGTTTAGGCGGCAATTTTTAATTTTCTCTGAAAGGTAAAAGATCGATAACATTGTACCGCATTTGCGACACCCAAAGAAAAATTGCAAAGAGACAAGGCATAGTTTATCGGTCTTATTACCAGGCAGTATCTAGTCCATATAAGACCTGTAGCTGCTAGTGTGGCGGATTGCGTTGGCGAGACGGAATCTAGGGGCCGACGATATTCATCAACTGAAACTGCAACTAATGCCTGTAATATATATTACAGTTATTACTTTAACTGTTATTTTGTTAACAGTCATCGGCTACACAAGCGTATAATGCAAGCAAGACATAAAATATGCTTATGGGTAATATTTATAAATAGGTATTTTCATATATTCGGAGACATTTAAAGACCTGACAACACATATGCATAATAAATGAATGATACAATGCCTACTGTTCTTTAATTTTATAGTTATGTAACAATACCATCACATTAGTCAAGGAAAAAAAGGAGGGGCTCAATTAATAAAACTTTTACCTACTTACTTACTCTTTACCTAGTGTTAATTAAATTAAGATACATATTCAATTCAATGACTTGAATGTTTGAACATTTGGCATTTTGAACGCACTTAATACGTACCTTGTAATTTAAAAGAAAAAAAATTGTTATCTCTCATTCTTTTATTATTTTGATTATTAATATACATAATATTATTATATCAGCGCTGGCGCTGATGTTCTCGTCTCAATGGAGCGTGGGCGACTATATTCAGACTAGTGAAACAAACGTATGGTTAAAGTTCGCGTGAAATGAGACGGACGATACAATGTTTCGTGGAACAAAAATGAAGTAAACTCCAAATGCTTTTTATTTAAATAACTCGTCAAATATATATTTCATAAAATCGCTAGTAACAGCTCTCGACCAAACTAATGTACTGTAATTAAATTAATTTTTGACTCTATAATACTGGCCATGATTGAATAAAAACGAAATTAGACCTCTAAGGTGACTTTGTGATTTTTTTGTATCGAGGAATTTATATTGTATTTTAATTGGAGTCAACCATTAACATTATAGTGAAGGATCAATACATATTTAATTTTATTGTTTTTCATTCAAACATCACATTCTTAGGTCAAAACAAATTTACGATGAGTGATTTTAGTTATAGCCTGCTCTTAAGGATCGTAGGTTAGAAGATATTAGAATCGTCCGTAATACTGTTTTGGTAAGTTAAATAAACGTTCCTACTGATTTATTGTTATACATACATACTCAATACTTAAGGTACGTGTTTATACAGTACGACTTAACGAGACGCATTGTGTAATATTGTCTAAAAATTTATGTTACTTAAGTCATTATCCCAATAATAGTCTTAGTAAACAGTTTCTAACTATAATCTAAAATATTTTTTTACGCTGAAAAGAATATTATTATGTTATTACACAATATATTTTAACAAATATGTATAGTATTTGCATACTTGATATAATTGCAAGAACTAAAATATGATACATGCAACCATGAACTTGTGATACCATTGTTGGATTATAAAGAAAATAAAATGTTGAAATAGAGAAATATATATTTCTATTAACAAATAAAATGTTTTACAAAAATAGTCAACTTTTAAAATACTTACTTTAACATTATAACAATCAAATGTTGATACATTGCATTATAGCGTATAACATTAAAAAGAAGATGCTTCTTATTTTGTCATAATGTATCTACAATTATCACAGATGGACATACAATGTAAATTGTTTCGAGCCCTGCTATCTTAAGAGCTAAGCAATATCTTATGTCTATGAAGTGAAATGCAACTAATTGGCACTCTAATCAGATTTCAAATATTTGAGCTTATTATAATGATAAATACCTAATACCACATGAGATTGATCCCTATTACTATTTATATGAAATGGTTTTATGCAAAACTGAATCACATAACACTGGAATTGAAAAAGGCAAGTTAATTCTGTAAAATTTATTCATACATTTAATTGATATTTTATCATTCTGTAGACTTTTCAATGCCAGTGTTTAAACATTCCTTTTTATGACAATTATTATAATACATATATGATAACCCTGTTTTTATGATTACATCATTTACTAGCCTTAGCTTCTAATGATTGTTGGTGTTTGAAAGCTCTGCCAATCTGATACAGGCTAGTCATTGCTACAAACACATTAACAGCAAATAAACTATAATTTTTTGGTATTATGACAAGTGAGTATCGTGACCAAATGATACCCGTGGCGGCAAGTGATGCAGATTGTGGAATGGATAAGGTCTCGACGGGTCGTTGCAAATCACCCAAACCAGCCAACACCAAGCCCTAAAATGCGTTAAAATGAAACATTTCAGATGAATATCTAACACCAATGACAATACTGTATTGGTTTGTTATAAAAATTTAACATATTTTATTTGTAATGCTGTTATTTTATTATATATTAGTATAAACTAATATAAACACAATATATATTAAAATAACATATGACTATTCTAGTTTAAAAAAAACTACGTATTAAAATAAATGCCCTTTAAATTAGACAATATTACATAATATTTGAGGTAACCTTGAATGTAATTGATAAGAAAATCTTACCCATTTAAAAGCTGGGGCCCAGAAGAATATTGTTTTCGGACCTGTATAAAGTAAATATTTATCGTAAAACCAAATCGCACTTTCAGCGGATTACCGCTAAGAATTTTCGTCGACTTACCAGCTTCGTGTTCCCAAAGCGGACGTAGTTTACTTGGAACTAGTCGGTCGGCAAACACAACCACTGTCTTGTATACTTTCGACATAATTGATTATATTTAAACTAATAACTTGATGAGTTTACAATTAATATATTTAGTATATAACTATATTGCTCGTGAAAACTTAAATGTAAATAGATCTTCTAACTTCCTGAATCTTGATCCCAAGGAGACCTTGGGGCTGAGGTGTTGCCATTTGCCAAGTGCCAAGTGCCAACTCGATTAAACTGTCGCTAGACAGAAGTTTAAAAAGTCGCTAGATGTCGCTAGATGATTTTGAAAGTTTGTTTGATATAAAGAAAAGCTACAAAAATTTAGGTAATGTTTATTCGCATTATTCGCAAAACGCTACAACGGGCTACACCGACAATAGTACGGGAGGTAGCAACGTTTGAAAAGAAATAATTTTAGGTCAGCTGATTTTGTGATATGTCTTCCTTCTTGCACTTTCGGTTAGAGTCTGGGCAATCTGGCTGGCGGTAGCGGTTGCGTTCATTAGTAATAATAATAATAATAATAATAATATTTTTTTATTAATCAGACAAATACAGTCCATTGATTGATTAGTGAGTTAGTAACAATAGTTTCTAACTCACTAATCATAGTGCGCATCCTATCTGTCCGGTAATAATCCTGGATTTTAAAAGCATTTTAAGAAGCGTAATTTTTAATTTTTCGTTTTTAAATAAGTCTACCTGACATACTTTTTTATTGCCAGACATTTTTCACATTGCTAACTATGTGCCAGACGCGATTTTAAGTTTTTTTTTTATAAAAATTTCAAAGTATTTTAGAATGTCTGTAATTTTAATATTATGTTCTTTAAATATAAGAAAATCTAAAAATTAATTTGCCAGACATTAATTCGATTGTTAAGCCTTGAATTAAAATGAAAAAGTATTGCAGTATGATGAAGCATTGCATTTTAAGAAGCGCAATTTTTAATTTTTCCTTTTTAAATAAGTCTACCTGACATACTTTTTTTATTGCCAGACATTTTTCACATTGCTAACTATGTGCCAGACGCGATTTTAAATTTTTTTTTTATAAAAATTTCAAAGTATTTTAGAATGTCTGTAATTTTAATATTATGTTCTTTAAATATAAGAAAAACTAAAAATGAATTTGCCAGACATTAATTCGATTGTTAAGTCTTGAATTAAAATTAAAAAGTATTGCAGTATGATGAAGCATTGCATTTTAAGAAGCGTAATTTTTAATTTTTCGTTTTTTAATAAGTCTACCTGACATACTTTTTTTATTGCCAGACATTTTTCACATTGCTAACTATGTGCCAGACGCGATTTAAAGTTTATTTTTTATAAAAATTTCAAAGTATTTTAGAATGTCTGTAATTTTAATATTATGTTATTTAAATATAAGAAAATCTAAAAATGAATTTGCCAGACATTAATTCGATTGTTAAGCCTTGAATTAAAATGAAAAAGTATTGCAGTATGATGAAGCATTGCATTTTAAGAAGCGCGATTTTTAATTTTTCCTTTTTAAATAAGTCTACCTGACATACTTTTTTTATTGCCAGACATTTTTCACATTGCTATGTGCCAGACGCGATTATTATTAAAAGAAATACTTTAAATTACGCTTCTTAAAATGCTTTTAAAATCCAGGATATTACCTGGACAGATAGGATGCGCACTAATGAACGCAACCGCTACCGCCAGCCAGATTGCCAAGACTCTAACCGAAAGTGCAAGAAGGAAGACATATCACAAAATCAGCTGACCTAAAATTCTTTCTCGAAAACGTTGCTACCTCCCGTACTACAAGTATCTCGTTAGGTGATGGCAGGACGATGTCTTTCAATAACCACATTTTTTATAAAAGTAATGTCAAACACTATATTATTAATAATATGTACATTTTATGTAATTAGAAAAAAAATCTTAAATCAGAACTTAAATAAGTAAACCCTATTCCAACCTAATTATTGGCCCCTGACAAGCACATCAATTTATAAATCTACTATTTAGTCTTCATCCGTGTCGTCGTCACAATTATAAATTACAGACATCATGGGATTATCAGGAAATTGCCCGGAAGTTAAGGTGGAGGTTTGTGGTTCACTGTTACTCTTAAATGAGTATGATTTGTTGGTTCCAATAAGTCTTATAAGTAAAACATTTTTAGGTGCATTTGAGAATTAAAAGGGGATTCCGTCGTTGCGGGTGTTTCGGATATCATTATTTAGTATTTTCTATTTTTTCTCGTAGTTTAATGAATATAAGTCGACTTATCCTATTGGTGGTGGTTAATTAATAACATCAACTAATTACGTAAGTTATTTTTATTTATTTGTTATATTCGTCCCTTTACCTTGTTATATTTTTGGTAGTCTATAATGGAGAAACGCCCTCCAGACCCCCCTGATCCTCCGGATAGGGTCTCTTCTCCGGTGGAATCAATGGATTTATCCACCCCACTGTTTCCCCAAACTGGTGTCAAGCGCAGACTCGATACTGTCAATGAATCTTTAGTGGAACCTTCCAAAAAACCAATGACTGATGTCCGGTCATCTGCTGATGACGTCAACCCGGGATTTTACTCCCATCCATCTCTCACTGGCTCTCCCAAGTCATACCTTGTCAGTGACAAGGGCCCTTTTTTTAGTCCATGTTTCTTGCCCTGAATCTGACCTATCCGCCGGTACATCATCCGCCCAATTAAATTTGGTCACTTCTTGGTAAAAAATAAAGTAAGTAACATTGTTCGTGATGGTGTTAAGAGAGTGGGACGTAACAGAATATCTGTTGAGTTTAAGTCGGGCTTAGATGCTAATAATTTTGTGTCTAATCCCATTGTACCTTCCAGCAATTATTCTGTTACGATTCCTAATTACAATGTTTCCCGTATGGGTCTTGTGAGAGGTGTCCCAGCTGATTGGTCGATGCAAGAATTTGTCGAAACTTTGGAAATTCCCGGAGGTATTGGTATAGTCCTCAAGGCCAGACGCCTTAACCGCAAGACAAACTCCGATGGTCAAATTAATTGGATTCCAACGCAAACTGTTGTTTTAACCTTTCAGGGACAAACCCTTCCGGAGAGAATATTCTCGTCATAGTTCCCTCCGCGTTGAAACGTACCAACTCCCAACAATCCAATGTCTCAACTGTTGTAGATTTGGTCACGTAAAGTCACAATGCCGATCTAAGCCTAGGTGTTTTCGTTGTTACTAGCCCATTCTGGTGATGATTAAAATATCCCTGAAACAGAGTCATTATGTTTATTTTTTACTGCCTCACACTATGCGACCAACAAAGCTTGTCCTGAGCGTAATCGACAAAAAAATATAAAGAATTGTATGTCGCAGGAAAGCATTTCTTATCTCGAAGCATCGGCTCGGTTTAGACCTATCAGTGGCAAAACTTTTGCAGATTCTGTAAAAAGAACCCCCTCCTCTTCATTCAGTTTATCCCAGCCCATTACTATACCTTCCTAAGTTTCCCGTCAGACTACATCATACAGGAAAACTGTATTTCTCCCTCCTCGCTCTAGGCCAACATCAGGAAAATCCTTTGATAAGGCGGCCCATGAGGCCATTACTTCCAATTTACCCTCCTCTTTACCCAATGGTAGTGCCGTAAGCTGCCCTTCCCTTAACAACAATGAAGTCTCCCCAAATAAAAATCTTCTTGACTGCTTATGGGCAGTCATTTGTAACATGCTAAGTATGATGACATCCCCATACCGTCCCACGTTGCCCAAAAAATTAATTTGCTCCACTCATTCGTCACCAAAAATGGCGAATCTGGTAATCAGTGGAATTGTAACAGTATTCGCAGTAAAAAATCCGAATTAACCTTTCTTATCAATAAATTCGCTTCATCTATTCTAGCCATTTCGGAGACTTGGTTATTGCCGGGTTCCCGCTTTAGGGTTTCTGGGTATCGGTGTCTCCGAGATGACAGGGATGATGTCTATGCTGGCTGTGCCTTTTTGGTCAGCCGATCGCTCACCTTCCACTCACTATCCCTTCCTCATTGTGATGGTATTAATGCTGTTGCTATGAGAGCTTTTAATATCTCGTTTATTTCTGTTTATATTCCCCACCCCCATTTCGACCTCATTTTTAATATACGTTCTATTATCCTTTCGGTTCCTCCTCCTGTTGTCATGTTGGGTGATTTCAATGCCCACCATGTTTCTTGGGGTTGTCATTCCTCAGATTCTTTTGGGTCCCTTCTACTAGATTTACTCGATGAGTAAGTGTCTTGAATAATGGTTGTCCTACGAGAAGGAGTCTTCCATCTCAGAATCCCGCTAGCGCAGTAGATTTATCACTTTGTTCTCCTGATCTTTTCCGTTTTCTATCCTGGCGTGTTTTTAAGAGCACTTGTAGGAGTGACCACTTCCCCATTTTAATTGATCTCCCAACCAATTTAAGGAGTGTTACTCGCCCTTCCCATCTTTTAAAATTTAAACTGAATCAGGCCAATCGGTCAGACTTTTCATCTTCTATTGACTCTAAGATAGCTGCGCTCCCCGCAGTTTCCGTTGAAAACTGCCTATCTTCATACAATGATTTTGTCAACTCCCTTACCTCATCTGCCAGTTTACATATTCTACTCAAATCTTCTACACAAAGGAAAATTTCTCCTCCTTGGTGGGATTCCGAATGTACTGAGATGATTCGAAAACGAAAAGTGGCAGAAAGGTCATACAGTCTTTGCATGACCTTGGAATTTTTTTAAGTCTACCAACAAGCTTCTGCAGCTGCTCGCAGACTTCTTAATAATAAGAAACGTCTTGGTTGGAATAAGTTCTGTGAGAGCATGTGCCCTGGTACCCCTTCGTCTGTTGTTTGGAAGCAGATCAGAAGATTCCATTGTTTCCTCAATTCATATGATGTCCCTTTTAATGATCCGTCTAGCTGGATTACCTCCTTTGCCGACAAATTGGCTCCTCCATCATTCCCTTTTTATGATTGTCTTCCTTATAAGTATAATTCTTACATCTCCTCTTCAAACAGTCTAGATTGTCAATTTTCCTTGGAAGAACTTAACAAAGCATTAAATGGTCTCTCTGACTCTTCCCCTGGAGAAGATGGAATTCCCTACTCATTCCTCATAAATTCTTCATTAGGCACTAAAAGGTACTTTCTAGATTTAGTAAACTGTTATTTCGATCTTGGAATTATTCCTGAATCGTGGAACAGACAAATCGTCATTCCGCTTCTAAAACCTGGCAAAGATCCATCAGATTTCTTCTCATACAGACCTATTGCTTTGTCTTCTACCCTTTTAAAAATTATGGAACATTTGATTAAAATTCGTTTAGAATGGTTTTGTGAAAGTAACAATATCCTTGCAAAATCCCAGTTTGGTTTCAGGAAAGGCTTGAGTACGATGGATAGCCTCAGTATAATAACGACCGACATTCGCATTGCTTTTAAAAAGAAACAGTTCCTGGTGGGTGTTTTCTTGGATATCGCATCTGCGTATGACCACGTGCTGATTCCGGTGCTCAGGCAAAAAATGCTTCAGCTGAGTAGGTATTCCTGAGAAGTTGGTACGTTTTGTTTGCAATGCAGTTTCGAATCGTTATATTAATATAAGATCCCAAAATACGGAGCTGTCTCCTAGATCTGTTTGGAGGGGCTTACCTCAAGGTTCTGTTTTGAGTCCTCTTCTGTACAACATTTACACCTATGACCTGGAGCTTGTTGTGAATTCCTTCTGTCAGATCCTTCAATACGCGGACGATGTAGCCTTATACTTTTCATCAAATTCTATCGAAGAGGCATCATCACGCCTAAATTCGGCTTTGGATTATTTGGGTGATTGGTTAAATGATCATGGTCTCTCTATTTCTGTGTCCAAATGTTCGGCGGTCACGTTTGCTACAAAATACAGGGTTCCACGGTGTAACATTTCATATAAAGGGTCCCCGGTATCTTGTTGTAAGCATGTAAAATTTTTAGGCCTTATTTTAGACTTAAAGTTAAACGGTGTTCCTCATTAATTCAACCATGTGATTAAAAAAAGTGAGAAGGGTGTTAATGTTCTCCGTTCATTATCTGGTGTGAGGTGGGGAGCACATCCCTACTCGCAAAAGCTTTTATACAATGCTGTGGTACGAAGTCATTTTGATTATGGCACCTTCCTTTTAGATCCTTGTTGCCAGGATAAACTTTCCAAAATTCAATCGAAATCTTTACGCATCATCCTTGGTGCTATGAAATCCTCTCCCATCAATGCTCTCCAAATAGAATGTGTTGACCCCCTCTGTATTTACGTAGACAATTTTGTAAGTGACTGCTTCTTCATCAAAGTTCTTCAATACCTACTCTTCACATTCCATCTTGTCCAAATTACGTCGCTTATCTAATCTCACGATGCCATCTAGTACAGGTAATGTTCCATGCCTATTACACAGTTTTAATAAACTTTCTCGTCTTCCTAATCCTGTTAAAAGTTTCCCTAGTAATCCCTTGTTCCCCTTTAAACTTTGGAATTGAAAAAAAATCCACCCAAGCTTCCATTTGTTTTCTGGAAAAAATTTCAAAAGACTGGCAGGGTTGGTTACCGATGTATACTGTTGTTTCCAAGATTCCCAGTAATGAGTGTATCGGTGCGGCTGTATGGGTCCCTTCATACAAAACAGTATTGAGTTACAAACTTCCTCCATTGTCGTCCGTTTTTTCAGGTGAAGCTTTTGCAATCCTGGAAGCGGTTTTGTATGCTGAGTCCCCAACCTGAATAAAGTTACAATTTTTTCCGATTCTCGCAGCTGCATACAGGCAATTCTTTCCAATCCATTCAGGTCTAAAAAAAACAATACAATTCTAAAAATAAGAGAAGCTTTGTTTAGGTGTAGTAAAAAAGATATTCATATTGTACTTTTGTGGATACCTAGTCATTGTGGTATAGCGGGTAATGAAACTGCTGACTCTTGTGCAAAAGGTGCTATTTTCTGCGGAACTTGTCAGCATCCTAACATCTCAGCCCACGACCTATCAGCTCTTGCGTACTCCCACCTTTTAAAATCCTGGACTATTGATTGGCAATCTTCTAAAGGAAAAACTGCACTATGCTAATATTCAGATTTCAATCCCTTCTTCAAGTTGTTATAAACAAATATTCAACTTTTTTTTATTTTTTTTCTAAAACTCCTAAAATTAACAAAAACAACCATATATAACAAAGTATAGAAAAAAATTTTTTGAAAATTATTTGATTATCATGAATATTACTTTTATTTAAAATAAAAAAACGATTATATGATGATTTAGAAAAAAAAATTTTTTTAACAACATTACATGGATTTTTAAGTTTTTGTTTAAGTAAAAAAATTGTTATAAACAAAGTATAAATATTTTTTTAACTTTTATGGCACGATCTTGTTAAGTATGTATGTAAGAAAGGCTCTACGAAGCGAAATATTTTTACGACCATTATTTAAACATTTTTTTTCACTTACAATTAAGACGGTCGTTCGAGAAAATTTCGTTAGTTAACAATTATTTAACTTGTTGAAAAATTAACTTTAAGTAAAATTTTCAACGGGAATAAATTAATTATAGTGTTCAGAACACACCATATTTTTTTCAAATTTAAAAAAAAATATTCAATACCTTAAATAAATTAATTAATGTGCCGTAGTCGCTTTTGACGCCACGCGCGAATCCTAAAAATGTCACCCGCAGACCTATTTTCAGCGTTAAATTAAAATTATTGGAGTTTTTTATTGGAAATTTCCTCCTCTTTCAGTCTTTATTTGAAATTTCTTAAATATTAATAGTTTATTAAATATTGGCAAAAAACTAAATGCCATTTTTTTTTCATCTTTATTTGTCTATAACTTTTGCAATTTTTTTATGTGCTAATACACGCTTTTAGCACATTTTTCTAGACGTCATTCCGGATCCAGTGAGCTATCGCACATAATTTTAAGAGCAGCCCTGCGATTCTGTAACTCACTTTTCGAACTCACACAGCGGTTTTCGCATCGGCGGTCGCTCTGTAATCGGTCGTGAAGCAGTCATTATATGATTTGGCATTGTGAAAAGGTGGGAACTTGTAGTTTATTGTTTATCAGAATGCCAAATCATAAAATGACTGCTTCACGACTGATTTGAGAGCGACCGCCGATGCGAAAACCGCTGTGTGAGTTCGAAAAGGGAGTTACAGAATCGCAGGGCAGTATCTCTATTTTGTTCCATTTTCAACTTGTCGACTAGACTAGAAGGAAGACATATCACAAAATCAGCTGACCTGAAATTCTTTCTTTTCAAACGTTGCTACCTACTATAAGTCACTCGTATCCATATAGATCGCAAAAGAAAAGTAAGGGTGTCCAGCAATTTTGTAGGAACGGCGTTTTTACTCTTAAATACTTTAAAGCTATATGAACGTCACCTAATACGCTATGAATATATGTTAAGTAAAGCAAAATGTTTGGATCTTGGAACATAGAATGGAGAAGTTCCGCTGAGTAACAGTTTTCGCGAGTTTTGCAAATAGAGAAATGCAATTTCAGTTCAACCCACGAGAGACTGCTGGGTGTATGGATAGCCAACGAGTCGTACATAATTTAAATATTTTCATAGGTGCTTTGTCGCAATTTACTGTCTCATATATTTTTCTATATTCATCTTGACGTTTTGATGATAGACAAACCCAGTTGTATGTTATATTCTTCTCTGATCATATATTCTATGTTTCGAGGTATAGTGTTTTCAGAAGCATGACTAATTGCCAACTGTAAAGAGTGACATACGCAACGCACAAGTACTAAATTTGGCAATACATAACCAGTTTTCAAAATTTTGTGTAGACCATAATTGGCTCCTGTCATAGCTGACGCGTTGTCTGTGCCTATTCCAATAAAATTTTCAAGTTTAAGGTCATGTTCCTTTAAAGTCGCTTTCATGTCATATGCCAGACCTTTTGCCTCGGGTTTTACGATGGGTGTGAGGGATAAAAATGTCGACACAATTTTCTGCGTGCGTAATGCCATGAAATATTATCCTATCACCATAAAAAAGCCTGTAGGAGACCCCAAACTATCGGATCCAGATGATGCCATCACAAATTGAAAGAACAATACCTAGCATTAAACATGTACGGTCTTACTAATAAAGATTTATGCACATCGTATATGCCTGTTATAAGAAAAATGTTACTAAGAAATTCCTGAATTGACAAGTTTGATGTATACGGCTGTTATAACAAGTGTTTGGTTTGTATGAAGACTTGTACAATGCTTATACAAGGCAGAGGCCTAGTTTAACGAGTGTATTAGACAAAAATAGCGTCATTTGATCAGATATTTTTTAAAGGTTCTTGTTAATGATTTACACGGGGTTAGTCAGCAGTCAATCACAAATATATGCCGAAGAGTAGCAGAAGTCCTTGTTAGGAGAAATCAAAAATTTATAAAAATGCCTGCAACAATCCGTGAACAGGAAGAGGTATCTGCAGGGTTCATATCCATAAGTGAATTTAGAGGCGTTATAGGGGCTATCGACTGCACACATGTTAGAATGAAAAGAATTGGTGGTGAAAGTGGGCAATCCTACATAAACCGGAAAGGATTTGTATCCCTGAATGTACAGTGTGTGTGTGATGCAACACTGCGCATTCTGGATGTCGTGGCACGGTGGAGGGGCAGTACTCACGACAGCCGTATCTTTAGAGAAAGTCATCTCAGACAAAGAATGGAGAATGGAGAGTTCTAAGGACGGCTTCTTGACGATTCAGGCTATGCATTGACTGCATATAAATTCACACCAATTTTAAATCCGAGTTTACCACAAGAAGAGGCATACGAGTACAATCATTCCCATATAAAAACAAGGAATACAATAGAACGGTGTTTTGGTGTTTGGAAGCAACGACTTAGGTGTCTTCGTCATGGCTTCTCAGTGTCATTAGAAAATGCCAAATTATATATAGTAGCACTGGCAATCCTCCACAATATTGCTATTGAAAGAAGGCCTGGATGTTACGTATGATGACACTGAGAATCCAGAAGAACCAAGGCCAACCCTAATAATACAACTTACATTAGAATTATGAGTTGTATCAGAATTATTAAATCAGACGTCAAACAAACACGGCGGGTTGCCAGGGTAACAATAAATAAGGGTCGTTTAGTTATTCAACCAATACACATCGATTATTGGTCAAAGAGGGGTTTATGCCCTGTACAAGCTCTATTCACTGAATAACTATCACCTTGTTATAACGCATGTATAGTGATTTTTTATTAGTAAGACCGGTATTGTACATATCAATAACTATTGTATTAAAGAGAATAGTAAGTACCACTTGATATTTTATTTTTATTGATAAAAAATATCGTACAAGCCTGAAAGTAAACTACTGCCAATCAAAGTAAATTATTGATACCGGAAAAAATCTTGAACAAATGTCCTTGCAAGCAAGAAAGAAGCGATCAGCGGCGGGCGGGGGTGGGCGGCGGCGGGAGAGTGACGTGTCGATCGCGTGATTGTTTAATCGGTTGACGTTTGTGTCCAGCGCTGCGTCCATATTCCTTTGCCTCCTTAGTACACTGTGTGACGTATATAGTGGGACATTTATAGGCTGGGATGTATTATTAATAAATACATAAATAAATATATTCTTTCATTTTTTCCTGGTATGGCTTGGTCTTGGCCCATTTTCATTTCTTGTTATCATATTTTTGTAGGTAGTAAAAATTATATTTTACAATAACATAAAATTAAAGCTATTTTTAAAAGTTATCTACGTAAAAAGTATTCTACAGTTAAATAAAATAGAGACTTTTTTTTCTCGTATGATGCGCAAACTTTCCCCCACTCGCTTGTTTAATGCTCAAGAAGTTTGCCGGTATCTGTAAAACACTATAATACAAACATTTCTTTATGTCCCTTTTACGCATTAGGATGGCATTAGGAAATAAAGATACAAAATGTTCCTTCGTTAGCTAGCTATTTCAACCGGTTTCTATGGCTATTTCTTATTCAAAAGTGTAAACATATTCTCTGTGGTTCAAATGTTTATTACACTATACTACAATAATCCATCACTCTGTGGTCTTCAAAAAACATGGTCCGGGACGCGGGTTGAAACTTGAAGACTTGAGAGTTGAGCGTGTGACTGTGTAATCTGTAATCTGTGGACTGTGGAGTGTCTTTTAATTAGTGTCAGTGTTATTTTTCTTTGGTTTTTTGATTTTTTTTTGATTTTTAATAATATCATTGTTTTTCGTTTAATGGCTAATGCTTTTTGTGTTTTGTATAGTTCAATGCGTTTCTTCATTATTTAATTAACTTGTTGAATATGGGCACAAGTACAATGGGGAGTGATTTGCATTCTGATAAGCAGGATAAGCTTTTAAAGCTACAAGCTCGTAAGAAGGAGCTAGAGCAGATGCTAGCAGCTAAAAATGAAGAACTGTACAAGTTATGCGTGCAAGAAGTTCAATTAACGGGAATCATGCCACCTGAAGCTCCCTTGAGTCCAGAAGTTCCACAAAGAGAAAGATTGGGAAGTATACGTAGCGTAGATCGTTCCACGGATGGTACTGATGTACAAGATGGTTGTGACACAACCTCTAGGCGCCTCAAAGTAAATGACAGACACGAAGCGGAGCATAATATGCGTAAGAACATTTCTCACCGTCTATCTACGCCATCCATCTCGGGTATTTCTGGCAAAAGTGTTCATTCTAGACAAGTACGACGTCCTGAGACAAGTTGTTCTAACTTTTTTTCCTTCTCCACCACAAGAGCGTAATCCTGAAACATTTTCTATGCACACTTCACACACCTATCCTGCTTTAGCCAATCGTCATGATGGCCTACCCAGTGAAAACATTCATGCTGAGTTACAACAAGGGCCAGCTTACCGTCATCATACTATGGCTACTGAATATACCAATAAAATATATTATAGTAATACACCATCTGAATCACACAATGTGTCTCGTTTACGAGAAACCCACTTTAGTTCCAGTCATCCAGATATAACTACTCATTACACACATGGATTGATTGCCCAGAATTCTATTCCTCAGCAGAATGGCATGCGTAGTACCCCTCTATTATATCAGTATGCATCACAACTAAAAGCACAGAGCCAGCATTTAGGAGCTTTAAATCATCACCATCAAATGCAAGCACAGCCTAAGAGAAGAAATGAAGGTGTGCGGAGAAATACTTTACAGAGAACCCAAACATATCACCTTACATCACATAGTGATTATAACCACCATTTAGAAAATATGTCTGAGGGCTATCGTCCTCCAGCACCAATTTACCAACACAGGTCACAACCAGATATACAGGAACCACCAATACCCAAGCCAATTGAAAGAAATATACCTGTACCAAATACGCTGCCCTTACGTGAACGAAATGCAATTAAAAATCCACTCCATCTACAGTTACAAGTATCAACTGAAGATTATCTTGATGAGAGACGACAATACATAGATCCTTTAAGTCCAGTCAGTCAAATGTCTGGTTATTCCCATAATTTTGATTCTGTTAGTATGAACAAAATCTCTCCACTCTCCCAGGATTCAAGGAAAGAAAAGCAATGGTATGAAACATCTCTAGATTCTCCCACTCGAGAGCCAACTCTGCTTAAAAAGAGTGCAAGTTTAAAGCGTAGTCCTAGTTTAGGAAATTCTCAACCATATGAAATTATGATTTCTACTGGTCGTCACATGGCCATGCATAGTCCAAACCACACACCCAACAGCCCACCAGTTCTGTCACCTGGTGCTATCTCTCTAGAATCACCTAAAAACTTGACTGTAATTGAACAGGGTAAATGTATACCATATAGAGAAGAGACAAAACCATTTGAAATGTCTGACTTTTATAAGTATTCTACAAAATTTCGTCAGTCAAATGTACAAAAGCCACCACCACCCCAACCAGTTCAAAATTTGAATAATATGTATAACAAATTGCCAATGGAGTTGCCACAATATAGCCAAGAAAATTGGCATCCTAGCAACTAATTAAATCTCCTAATTTATACATATTTAATAATTAATTATTATAAATTATAGTTACTCTTGCTAATATTTAAGTACTTAAGTCAAAACAGTCCAGATCTCCTTATAATATTTGATACAAATGAGGTCATTTTTAATGTCTAAGCTATTAATATTTATATCAAAATAGATTGTGATAGACATTTAATATTAATTATGTTTAATTTTTAATGATCACTAATGAAATCAATAACAAAGTATATATTTCACGTTACATATTATGCCTATGAAGAAAACAAAGTTTGATTGATATCTCTTCCTACATCATAACCTGGTAGTTGTAGATCTGTATAGCTGTCAAAATTTGAAATTACAGAGTGAATGAGCTGATTTTTAATATTAATTTATCTAATTTTACTTATGAAAGTAGCATAGAATTTTATTGCTAGGACTTATTTTTTTGAGCTTGTTTTGACAAATTGTAAGGATATAAATTTGTTTTTGTTAATCAACCCACCGCTGTTCAAACTTAGCCATTTTATATCATGCAATTAACTATGTAATAATGTTTGATCTCTTTTGTTTTGTTTTAATATCTGTAAATTACACGTGTTTGTGTTACAAAACATGGATTTTTTTCTTGTCAATTATGAGACAATTAATTATGATAATGTTCTGGTGCCCTATTTTCATTATTTGTATTGTTATGTGCCTCTATGTAAAAATTCAATTACTGTATTGAATTTTAAAAAAGAAAGTATATAAGTTTAGAAAATATATTGTGAAATTTACATTTAAACTTGATTACATCACATATTTAACTCATTTGATGGACATACAATGTTCAAATCACATTTGTTATTATGAAAGAAATATATATATAAATAGGCATTTGCAAACCAATACAAAATTTTAGACTCAAATTGTTATTGTAAATAAAATAGTACAACAACATGAACTTGGAACATAATTAAAAGTTTTTAAAATTATTTGAATGGTCATAGAGATAGTTATTTTGTATACATATTCGTTGATAGTTCAAAACTAGGGTGCCTTGTATTTGCTTAGCAGAATTATTATATTAATTATTTTTGTCAAATATAAGACTAACAACACTTGCCAAGGAAAGCTCATACATTCTCTGGCATTGTTCTATTTTAAAATATGACAATAATTGTAAGCATTACATAAGATATACTATGTAGTTAATATATTAAATATTTGTTTTAGCAATTTTAAATTGCAAATCGGCTAAACAAGAAAGAGTTAATATTTTTGTATATTGGGATAAAGTCAGTGCAAAGAGCACAATTGTATTTTAATAAATGGTTTTATTAAACTATCGTTTCCTTTAAAAATATTGCGGCTCATATACATAAAAAATATGATTTAATATTGTCATTGAATTAGTAAAAAAGTTATAAATTGTAATGCATGTAATGGCTAATGACAATAAGCATTTAATATATACATTAAAAAGAAGTATCGTAAAAAAGGTAGACAGAAGAAGAAAGGTACTATGAAAACGAAAGAAAATCTAGAATAAACTTGTAGATGATGTGTCGTGCAAGAATTAATGGTGGCGCAAGCGTTGAAGTTTCATAAACTTTGCTAAGACTTCGCCCAGAGATCTTTTCCCAGGGTTAAAACCACCATTCAGATAATCGTCGTCTCCGCCTGCAAAAGTGAGAAATAATGTATTTTTCACATAAGTATACGTGCAAAATTCATAAAGATTTTTGCGTGATTTAGTCTAATCCGACAAAAGTTTACCTTAAATATTCCTAGTCATTGAGGATACTTGATAATGAAGATGATTTAATATTAATCTCTTTATCTAATATATAAAATTCTCGTGTCACAATGTTCGTTCCCATACTCCTCCGAAACGGCTCGACCGACTCGTATGAATTTTTTATACATATTCAATAAGTCTGATAATTTGCTACTACATATCTAACTTTCAAACCCCTAAGTGATAAGGGGTGTCTAGTGTCTACCCCAAATTTTTTTTTAATTTTTCAATGATACAACTTGAACTCAGAGGTTTATGTAGAGAAAAAATCTCTGAAAAACCTAAAAAATTTTCATTCCGGAAAATCAAACAGTCTCCGGGGTAGCATAGCAAAATGTTCCATGTTAGTAGGTACTAAAAAGGTAGAGTAAGTAAAATCACATTAAGGAGAAACGAAGTTCGCGGGGACAGCTAGTACATATTATATAAAATTCTCGTGTCACAACGTTCGTTCCTATACTCCTCCAAAACGGCTCGACCGATTCTAATGAAATTTTGTATGCATATTCAGTAAGTCTGAGAATCGGCAACTATCTTTCATACCCTTAACTGATTAAGGGGTCTCTACCCAAAAAATGTTTTTTTATTTTTTAGACAAATTTTCTTGTTTTTATTTTATTATGATACAACATACAGAAATACATACAACCCTTAATTTTCACCCCTCTACGATCAACCCCTATTTTTTATTATATATAGTAGATAGTTATTTTATTGAACTAAAAAAAATGTTTTCTAGAAATAATGAACATGGCAAAACGACGTTTGCCGGGTCAGCTTCTATTTTTATATATTTAAGAGAGGAAGTGGGAAAATAAATATTGTGTTTATTATTTAATAGCGGTCATGGTAAGGAAGCGTCTTAACATAGTTTTTTATTTATTACCAAATTGTGTAATGTATCAACAATCATTATAATATATATATGGTCATGGTAAGGAAGCGTCTTAACATAGTTTTTTATTTATTACCAAATTGTGTAATGTATCAACAATCATTATAATATATATATATATTATTATTGGTTGGTACCTGAGCCTTGAAGTTGTCCGTTGACACAGCCTTCATCCCACATATTTATGCAACGTTTTCCCGGATTAAAACCACCGTTCAAATAATCATCGTCGTCACCTGTGTTTAAATACATGTTAATACACGCATGCCAAAAAGACTAATTCTATAAAGGAATAAAGGGAAATAAAAACAAATCTTATATATATATATACGTATACAATTTAAAATAATGGTCGTGAAAGTTCATAACTATAAAATCGTTTTTTTTGTGGAGCAACTGACCTGAAAATACACAACACAACAATTCAAAAGCCGGTCAGTTCTTCAGGAGCCATTGCAGCCAATATATCGTCAAAATTAGTAGTGTTTAAAGTGGTAGTGGTAAAAAAATAATAACATCGAAATTAATTATTTTTCTATAATACGCATTATTCTACTAACATTAGTTTCACTTTCAGAATGAGAGCATGGCCACTACACTCTTCACGGAATAATGGAAGAAACGATTAACGAATCGCTATAATAAATACATAATAATATTAAATAATAGTACTCATTGAGTCCTTAATCAAACGATGGAAAAGTTTCACAGTGCCAACGGTACTTTTTCGCGGCTAAATAATTAAAAGTTAAGGTTTGATAATTGATGATGCAGAGTGTTTCACAATAACAATTTAAAGATTCGGTAGATATATGATAACTCACAAAAAACGCAATAAAAATATTATTTAATAGAATTAAAGTCAAGTAGTCGAAGTCTTTTTAGTGTATGCATTGAATAATGAGTTATCCTTATCTGTTGCAGTTGCATTTGAGATATCACAAAGAGTGCGGCGTATTTTCGTTAAATTTGTTTTATCGTGTTTTAAAAAAAGATTGTTGAAGCTTTTTGTTTCATTTTGTGAGGTAAGTTTTTTAAATATTTTTATATTGTTTAGTAGAAATATTACGCTACGTTTTAATCATTCGAATTTGGCCACAGTGGACGTTAGTAACAAAATGGGACAAAACAACCTTAAGAAAAGTATTATTTAGTATAGTATAATTGTTATTTGTTTCGTGTTTTAAAAATAAAGGAAATTTCACTTACCAGCACCCGGCAGTTGTCCGTTGGTGCAACCATCATCCCAGACATTGACACACCGAGAGCTACCTGAAATATTAAACACTGTAGTTAAAGGCTAGTCAAAAATTGTGCGGTGGTAGCAAATAATAACGTACTATAATGTGGTTTGCTGGTAGCAGTATAGAATAATGCTAGTAAAAGAGAAAGAGTAAAGAAGACTTTCATTTTTGCGTTAGACGAAAATGATTTATGATCGTTACCTATCATTGAAATGGCATTTTATATTGGTGTCAAGTGGTCAAAATTCATTAACTGTTAATCTGCCACTTTAGATATTATACTTTATTAAAATATATTAAAATCGTGACAAATTCCGAAAGATAAATATTTTTATTGAATATATAAGGTTACTATCACATAAAAAACATGTTTTAACTGAATAAAAAAAGGCTATCCTATCCGATATGTATTGTTTTATTACTTAAATTAATAAAATAAAAATACATAAGTATGACATTACTGAACACGTAGATTCCGCCTTCGTTTGTAGATTTTAGAATTTTAATTTAACACTACTTACATTTAATTTATTTGTCGTCTGTAGATCAAAAAGTGATAAACAAATTGGTTGTCTGTAAAGTCAGTTAACAGACGAGAGGAAAAAGCGCGGGAAATGAAGTAGGCGGGCGTCCTTTTTTTGGCTTAACTTTTAGAAATTAAATTTCTAAAGTTAATTAATAAAGTTTCTTCGGCCCCTTCTGGTCCAACTATTTTAAAATTCCAGGACATTTCTGTCTTTCGTTTTTATTTCCTCGCTTTTGTCCATCAAAACTTCTTCACTGTAAAAACAGTTGACAAAACATTCACGTATAGGTTGTGCGCTCCGTCTTTCTTTTACTCGGACACATCGGCCGATGGAGTAGAAGAGAGATAAATGCGTCACAAGCCAAACGCTCTCCCAATCGTGCCTCTCTATCGCTTGTTCCGCGCTCTCGCTTGCACGCTCGGCTTAGGCGGAACGTGACAATGAATCATGTTACGCTCGGCTCAGGCGGATCGTGACAATGAGTCATGTTTATTCGTGCGTACAGCCGGTGTTCATCGATTTATAAGACGCTATTATTCCAAAAATTTACACTAAATCATATACTGAATTTGTCTTTAGTTTAACAATTTTTTCAGAAAATGAAGTGGGTTATTATATGGATTTTATTTCTTAATATGTGTACTGGATATAGAGTGCTACTCGTATTTCCATTTCCGTTCAAAAGCCACAGTATATTTGGTGAAGGATTCGTACGGCATTTGATTAATGCCGGTCATGAGGTAGCTATTAAATGTTTTGATTCTATCTTTCTAGTTTATCTTTGCTTAAAATAAATATGATATATGAATTATATCTGTAACTTTACTGTCTATAAATAGAACTATAACTTTTTGTAAACCGGAAGCTTATGTTAATACAGGTGACGTACGTTACGCCGTTCCCTTTAAACAATACAAACCCAAAGCTGCATCAGATAGAATTAACCAGTGACAACAGTTTTAGTAAGAAATTTTTACATTATTACTTTGATTAGTTATATGGGTATAATATGAACTTGGTCTTACGTCCGTCAATACCATTATCTAAAACACGGATGACTCTTTAATACTTCTTAGCACATATCACTAAATATGCCGAGAATTGAGAGTGATAAGGAAAGCACCATGCTAATCTATAAGATCTAGTAGAGATTTTTATGTAAGTATGTTTGTAACGAATTGGCTCAAAAAGTACTGGACCGATTTCAAAATAAGGATCCCTACTAAAACTACAATAATTATCTTTCATCGCATGCGCTGCGAAAACTGTTGATGATTGAACAAGAAAATGTTCTACAATATTAAAGAACATATCAAAATCTAAAAAAAAAAAATTCCACCATGTTACGTTTCAGTTTGAGTAAATCATTGATAAGTGTATTTTCTCTGAAATTCAAAGTTAAGTCGAACGACGAACTCATCAAATAATTTAAGTAATTTTAAAAATTATCGGTCAAGGCAAGTCGTATTTTGAAAATTCGAGACGACAAAAGACAACGGCGCGTTTCTTTCGATTGTTCGATCATCACAAACTGTTCTTTTCTGTTCAGTGCACGATCGGTTTTAAATTATTTTTACATTCCTCTTAATTAATATAATGTGGAATCTCTATAACTCGAACCTCGTTAAGTCGAAATCCTCAGTAAGTCGAAAAAAAAGCCATTCCCTCTATCGCGAATTACTTAGACTTTGTAACTCAAACAAAATGTTATTCCCCTACGAATGTATTTAATGGATCTTTACCCATTAAATACAAAAGTTACTTTTTAACTAAGTGGAAAGTTATTAGGTACTGGACCGGTTTCAAACATTATTTTACCTTTAGAATGCTACTTGAATAACAGAATATTTCTAAAATTTTGAAAAAAATAAATAATATCCAGCAGAAACTAAGACAGATCGGTAGTATGTAAATTATACTATGTGTTAACTGCAAACTATAGATTTAAGAAAATAAATAGCTATACGAATACGTAATTGCAGAACCGTCTTTAAATCTTAAAGACATTTTTGAGAGGAATATGAGACATGAAGGATGGAAAATATTTCTCATGATGAAAAGCGTGGCAGAGAAAACTGCTTTGAATGTAAAAGTGCAGGAACTTTTAAATGATACGGGTCGGAAATTTGATGTAGCCGTCGTTGAGTGGATGGATCACGAGATTTATAGCGGGTAATTATAAAAATCCTAGTAATATCGTAAAATTGATTCAAAGCTATTATGTTATATATACCAGGGACATTGCTCCGACATATATATTATAACTTCTACGTTCCAAAAAGTTTTATTTTTTAATCACCTTTTTTTGTTAAAAGGCTTGCCATTTCTATAGTCTTCAGTCATTGTACAATTGTATATGTTCCTGCGAGTGCGCTATTTCTGGCAAATTTGATCACATTCGCCTTTTATTCATTCCTACGTTTTAATCCTAATTTATGAGTTTAGACAAGGTTTTATAACAGCTTATAACTAACTACCTATCGATACAAAATTCTCGCGTTTCTAGTAAATTCACAAAACATCTCGCCTCGTCAGCACTGTTTAATAAAATATGTAATATATAAATATGTAGTGCATATTTTATCATCTCATCCCTCAACTGTGATTCTACTTCTAATTGCACTCTCCGAAAACATAAAAATTGATTGTTTTTAATGTATAAATAACAGTAATTTCCAATTGGCCTTTAAATATTTGCTAAATATGCAAATACACAAGAACTCCCATATTGACTAAACAAATATAAAACTGCATTTATAATTACAATATAAACAGACCGTCACATTTCTACTTCTGTTTTATCAATATTTTTTTTTATTCTTTCAAATATCAGCGTCTCTCAATCGGAATATGACATTAACATTATAGGTTATGCTTGAGGTGTGAAATGCAGCCTGTTTTTTGTTTTACTAATTAGGTATATATATTATTACTAGTGGACCCCACAGACGTTGTCTTGCATGATATTTAAAGCGATTAGGATATTAAGCAAAGTATGAAAGTACCGACTGCAGTGCCATCTGCCGGGCTGACTTGTGAATCTAAACCATTCCCAGATCCCCTTGAACACACACAAAAAATTTCATCAAAATCGGTCCAGTCGTTTGAGAGGAGTTCAGTCACATACACACGCACAGAAGAAATATATATATATTAAGATTTTTATATTGCTTAAGCTTTCTATTATGCCCAAATCGGATATTTTATGAAATATTTTTCAGGTTCTCAGCAGTCTTCGAATGTCCATTTATATGGTTCTTTCCTTACGATCAATACATTGAGATATTTCGTTTGATTCACACTCCGCCAAATCCCGCCTACACACCTAATGCGAAAACTATCAATGTCCCGCCATTTACATTTAAACAGCGAGTTCAAGAACTTTGGTACACGATGGTGACCCTGTTTAGGAGACATTTGTATGTACTTCTATAATTATCATTTTTATACTCTTGCTTATGCTTTATAAGATTAGCTATTGTTATTAAAAATCTAATGACTTTCTTCCTGCCTTTAAACCTTTAGGTACTAATGAAAATCGAAATTGTGTTAAGAATGTTTTTGCTAAAAAGCCTTTATTTACATATTACCTCAAAAGTCAAAACTATTAAACGGTATAAAATTAAATAATCTATTCATAACACAAATCGTTTACAGATGTATTATAATTATAAATCGCTTAAGATAATTTGAAAAATAATAATAATCTAATATGTATTTTTTGACATTTTTACATGTCTGTTGAGGGTTAATTTTGGCATACCATCATCAAAGATAGTATTTAAAATATTATTAAAGTTATCTCAGCTAAGGCACTCGCACCTAAGGGTTAAGAACATATACTAGACCAGTCTGCTTTTCCTATCCTCGAATACATCATATCGTAGTTGGCTGTTTGAAATTTCCATTTCAATGTTCCACCTAACTTTTCTACCGCCTTCGTACATTTCACCGGGACTGTCGCCGATCGGGGCCATATACATACTTGGAGCGGGTGATGTTGTTTATCCACTAGTAAGTTCCCAATCCTCGCTCTTGAGCTTGTAAGTAATAATGCCAGAAAATTTAATTTTCTCCTGAACCAAACCACAATATTTTATGGTTATGTACCTAGTATAGAGGTTATATCGAAGTGCATTAATAAGTTCTTATCATAAGTATCATCTTGAGCTTAGTCACCGTTTATCCTTTCACTCCTTTAATCTATGAAAGATTATAATAGGAGACTAGGAGAGTAATAGATCGCGCTATGTCTCGTTTCTGAATGTCTCCGTAAGTAACGACAGAAGACTTAGAAGAATTTTGAGCTGTTAGACAGAGACTAGGACGCCGCAGTGCTGCAATTCTGCTTCGCTTCAGCACAAATTTGAGCGGAGCGAGTGTTCAACTCAATTTTTAATGATGAGTAAAAATACATAGATTCAAAACATTTAATTTAAAGATTTGATTTTGTTGAAAGGACTTTTTAGTTTTAGGTCTCCTTCGAAGTTGTTTTTCCGCTTATTTTGTGATTTATTCGTAAATATTATTGACTTTTTATAGCCTATAGCACGGGAAATTTTTCCATCTATAATTTAAAAAAAGAATTTTCGAAATCGGTTAAGCCGTTCAAAAGCCTTAGTGTTTGTATAGTGTCATAAGAGTGGGCGCATGGGAGCTTCGCTCGCTTCGCTCGATCCGCTCAATAAATTCGATATTAAAAGAAAACAGTTTATAATTATCACCTACCAAAAAGCTTATGTTAATTCCGTTGATAACATATAACCATAAATATTTATATAGGTAAATATATTTATATTTGGGTCTAAGGTATAATAATTATAGGTTCACATACACACACAAGCACATTATTAATAGTATCTAACAAATTTCAGCTTCATTCACTCTTTGGAAGAGGAAACTTATAGAATTTTTTTCGAGCCAGCGATGAATAAGAGAGGGAAAGAGTTACCAGCCTATAGCGATGTGAAATATAACGCGTCTATCGCATTTAGTGGTTCACATATAAGTTTGAGGGATCTTCCAGAAGTCCCGAGTGCTCTGAAAATGATTGGTGGATTTCATGTAAAGACTCAAATAGAACCATTGCCAGAGGTGACTACGTAATAATATAGATTTAGAAGAAATGGCTTAGTTACATGTTTTAAAGTTCTGACTTTATAATACTTAATTTTTCATTTGTAATATGGAATGGAGAAACAGCAATGTAGGGCAATCTTCAGCGTGTAAATCTCATCCCTGAAGCCGCAGGTTTAAACCTCGGCTATTATCAAGCAATAGATTTTCTGTCTGTGACCGTGAAAACATCGCGAGGAAACCAGCATACCTTAGACCCAAAAAGTCGACAGCACATAAGGCACCTACTCGCCTAGTATAAAAAACAAATGATCACGAAACAGGTACAGAAGTCTGAGGCCCTGACCTAAAAGGTTGTAGCGACACTGGTTTTTATTATGAAGTAACGGTTACTGCGATATAACATTAAAACATATTAGTGTTAAAGGATTACCGACTACTTCAGAAATGTTCCTATTTACATTACGATAGTTTCAGGAAATTATCTATTTTATGAATGCTCGGCCTCGTGCTTTTGTGTAGCAGTTAGTAGCTTTTTAACGATAAAATTAAATTTATGCCCTAGAACCGACCTTCTTTCCCTTGTATCAATAATTTACATATTCACAACCGACGAGGTTGGCAGATACTGCGGATCTCCACTTCCTAAGGTCCTGACCAATCTTTTAGGAAGTTCCCCATGCATGCTCGTCGGTTATAGGAAATTTTCCCTTCTCTAGTACCTCCTGGATTTCGTGGGGGGACATACCCCCCTCATTTCCACGGCATTTATTCTACTTTTATTCTTTCTCTGCCGTACTCAATAAATAATTCATGAATATTTAATAATCTAGGTTTAATACATATCAAAACATTGTTATATTATAACGCACATTTAAGTCCGTTACATTTGTTAGTTCCTAAGAGAAAATCCATAAAATTTACTGGACTTATAGGATCTGCAAAAGATAATGGACCGGAGCAAGCAAGGTGTAATATTATTTAGCATGGGAACACAACTAACATTTGGTGGATTATCGAACCTAGTAACAGAACTTGTTAATACGTTTAGTAAGCTAAAGTACACAGTTCTGTGGAAGACAAATGAAGAGAGCTTTGCATTACCAAGTAATGTTATTGCTAAGAAATGGGTTCCTCAAGTTAGTGTTTTAGGTAAGTTTTCTGACCACTTGTTTTTTTATAAGATAGGGGGGCAAACGAGCTTGCGGGACGACCAAAAAGGGCAGTCTTCGCAGCCCATAGACACCTATTTTTAGTAGGTGCGTTGCCGGCCTTTGAGGGAGGAGTACGCTCGATTTTTAAACATTTGGAGGTCGTATCTCTGAGGGCAGACCCCCACCGGGAGTCGATTTCACAGTTCGCTAGTTCGCAAAAGAAAATGCCTTGTCAAACAGACCGTGGAAGACATCCAACCATCAAGACGATGTTGGTGAAATTTAGAGTTCGTACTTATTCCTAAGATCGACTCCTTATTTTGTAAATGTTGATTATCGAATTCACAAGACACCCAGTACAGCGATTAGCCGATTACGCGACTTCAGCCAATCGCAAACCAACAAACCAAGTTCAAATAGTTTATTTTCTATTATCACATTACACATTAACAAATTTGTTATATTTTAGCCCATCCAAATTGTATTCTGTTTATCACACATGGAGGTTTATTATCAGTCACAGAAGCTGTTCACTTCGGAGTACCTATTATTGGTCTCCCAGCATTTGCAGATCAGTTCATTAATGTCAGAAATGCTGTAAACAATGGTTTTGCTAAAGAAGTGAAGTTATCTGTTAATATGGGAAATGAGTTACTTTTAGCAATCAATGATGTTACAAATGATCCAAGGTTTGTATTTAATTGAAATTGTAAATATGAAGAATACAGGAGATCTAAAGAGACGAAATTTATAAATAGAGGTGAAGATAAAGTGTCCTAACTTCTATCTTATACACCGCAAAAGTGTATTAGATAGAGTATCTATCTAATTTATTGCGTATTTTTTAATCTAAGTCTACTAAAAGTGCTCTGATATGATTATTTTCGCACCCGAGCTATTTTGATAAGCTTTTGTTGATGCATTTTTAGATTAATATTAGTTTATCTATTAATATTGAAATTATATTAGCTTAAATTTCCTTATTCTAATATGACAAAATTGTTACAGATATCTTGCGCGCGCTAAAGAAATTTCCCGCATCTACCACTCCCGCGTAGCTCCCCCTGGTGTAGAGTTAGTTCATTGGATAGAGGAAGTGGTGACGTCACGGGGCGCGCCCCATTTACGCTCTCCCGCGCTCACTATGCCCTTTTACCAGAAGTACTATCTCGACTTGGCCGCTACTATTCTAATAATACCAGTCATAATGTATCTTACGCGGAGTTTGATTTATTCGCTTAGGAAATCAGACCTTAAAAATAAGAAAAATGATTAATGTTCCTTATGTGAGTAAAAGTATTGGTTAAAGTGTGTTAAACAGCATTTAATTATTTTGGTCGTGCTAGTTTTATGAGTTTAGTGGTGTATAATTTATAATCCAAAATGATTGCTGTCAAGCCAACGGATGTTTCAATTAAAGGATAAATAAAATGTGATATTTAAATCAGAGTACCTTTGTTATCATTTACGAGCTCTCGAAGGTCAGTCTTTACTCACGAATTCGCAGTAAATTTTATGACAATGCAGTTTAATATATCAATGTACTAATGATACATTTGCAAGAGGTAACATGTTGGTCAGTATTGTAAAATGTGCGATATTATTCCAATATTGCAGTGCTTTTAAGATATTATTAGTTTTTCCCATACCTTACAGAAGTCATGCAATTTTAGGAGAAAGTTTCGTAAGGCATTTACTTAAAGCTGGACATGAGGTATTTACACGCTTTGTATTTATATAGCATTTGAGTATAGTGTGTGAAATCCATCAGTTGGAGCTAATTCTATGTACGTCTTTTAGGTAACCTACATAACGCCTTATCTAATACCACAGAATCATAAAAATTTGAATCAGATTGAGCTCCAAACAAAAGGATACTTAGGTACCGTAATTGTTATTATTATTATACAAATTAATAAAATGTCGGAGGATACAAGTCTATTTCGTTAAAACAAAAGGTATAATTGGTGGTTGCTTGATAATACTAATTCACAAGATTGTCTCTTGTGCTCTTGCATATATCATCATATTACCTATCCCATTACCTTGTTCTTTTGTGAAAGATATAAATGTTTCTACCAATTATTCAGCTAATTGATAACACGTATAATTTTACTATACCTTCTTATTTTATGAGAAAGAAGTTTCGTATTATCATTTAATGATTTCTACGTCATTTTAGACAAAGCTGTAACAATAGAAAACGTGTTGAAAGAAGAAATAAATAATGCCGAATTGTTAAATGTTTTAATGAAATTAGCAAATCTCACTATATTAAACGAGAATGTGGTGAATTTACTAAACGATAAAAATATACAATTTGATGTTGCTGTTATTGAACGAATGTTTTTAGATGTTTATTGTGGGTCAGTATTGGGTTTTATGTATTATTCTATTCCTGAAGTAGAGAAGTTAATCTCAAGTACGCGGGGCTCCGAAGCAACCTCATCGAAAACGGCTTAACCGATTTTTATGAAAATTGGTAGGTCTAAGAACAGGTCGTTAATTATTTTGTTGGTTGCCTGGTTGCCAACCCCGATTTTTTCCGATGAAGGTGTAGCCAAGCCAAGGCCTTTGTCATTTACGATTAATTTATTTGATCTTACAGTTTTTCAGCGGTCTTTAATTGCCCATATGTTTCATTTTTCCCTTACCACGATGATTTAAACATTTTTGAAGTTATGCACGAAACACCCAATCCCGCCTACACTGCCAATATTGGAACAGGAAACATTCCTCCTTTATCATTTTACCAGCGAGTGCAAGAATTATTTTTTCATATGATTTATAAAACTATGAAGGCGTAGTAAGTATAACTATTTAATTGTACGATAAGCAGATAAAATGTAACTTATGTGAGAGTGGTTATACCATTCAGCAGTTTCTTCCTATGAGATTCCTACGTAAAATAGCTAACTTAGTGTATTAAGAATGATATAAAAGAGTGTCATGCGTGTAATTAGGTGGCTGGTATTGGCTATAAGTTTGAATAACCTGGATATATAATATACTAACCAGAGAGAGAGAGAGATTTACAAATGAATCCTTATATCCTTTTGGTAGGCTTCAGCATAGCATATTACAACTTTATGTAAATATAAATATGTAATATTACAGTTATATAACGCCAAAAGAAGAAGAATTTTACAATATTATGTTCAAACCATTTACAAACAGACGCGGAAGAGATTTACCTAAGTATGACGATGTGAAACATAATGCGTCTCTAGCATTAAGTACATCACATGCCAGTATTGGAAACAGTTATCTACAACCTTTTTCTTTAATACTAATTGGTGGATTTCATATTGATAATGTATTGGATCCTTTGCCAAAGGTATAAAACCAACGTCTTTTTATTTGTCTTTATCTAATAATTAGGGTGTCAGGAAATATATGAAGAGGTTCTTCGTGGAAGGTACAAAATCGAAGAACTAATTACAAATCTATGTTGAGCGTAAGATTTCCTAATCATAATAACAAAATATATTACAGGGTTTAAAGAAAATAATGGATTCCAGTAACGGAGTAATACTTTTTAGTACGGGCTCCCAACTGACGTCAGAAGGCATGCCTAAAGAAATGAAAACCCATATTCTGCGAGTATTTTCTAATTTAAATTACACTGTATTGTGGAAAGCTACGATGCAGGAAGAAAGTCTACCAGAAAATGTTAACATAGCGTCATGGTTGCCACAACAGAGTATTTTAGGTAGGTTTAACTCTGAATATTTAAAATACTTCATCGTTCATACTTCTACGGTTGAAAACTGTTATTTCTACGATTTCATTCATATTATAAAATGTTGTTGTCGTAAAATCACACAATTTAAAATACTTTACTGTTTATTTCATGAATTTAGGGCATCCAAAATGCGTACTATTCATAACACACGGTGGAATATTATCTGTTACTGAAGCTGTTCATTTCGGTGTACCTATAATTGGAATACCTATGTTTGGGGATCAATTCGTCAATATCAGAACCGCGGTCAAAAATGGTATTGGCAAAGAAGTTAAATTATCTATAAATTTAAGCGATACCTTAGAAAAAGCAATCAATGAAGTTTCGAGTAATCCCAGGTATGAATATTTATTTTCAATATTTTTGTAAGGTATGCAATACTTGCGCCTGCTATAAATTTATTGCAAAGCTTCCTAAAAATAACGTTGGTATCGAAAGCGCTGTATTTTAAGTTTAATATAAAACATTGATGTCAATTAAAGTTAATATTCCAATGGCAATGTCTACTGTGCTAGTACTGCATACTAAAGACGTAAAATAAACCCCGATATTTATCGATAGGTATCGTGAGCGTGCTAAAGAGATGTCCCGTATATACCATTCCCGCATGGTACCTCCTGGCGTAGAGCTGGTGCACTGGATAGAGGAAGTGGTAACGTCACGGGGCGCGCCCCATCTGCGCTCTCGCGCGCTCTCTATGCCTCTTTACCAGAAGTACTATCTTGACTTCATCGCTACTATCCTAATACTATTGATAGCTCTTGTGTATCTTTTACGAAAAATGTTTAATATTATTGTAAGTAAAACGTCTCAAATGAAGAAAAGAACACTCAAAAAAACTAATTAAAAATCTTTCTTGAAATATTTAATCTTATTGAAAAAGTGTATCGTAGTAATAATATGCAAGGAAAGCGGTTGTAAATATAGTAAATATACATATGAGTTATATATTCTTATCAATATAAATTAAAAATTTCTTTGCCTGCAATTAAAAAAGTAAGTAATTTAAATAGCAGGTAGGTTTTTAACGGGAAAAAATTGTTTCTCGGTATACTCTTAGTAATTTGATGTTAGCGGGAGACACTAAGGTGATGACACTCTGGTCATATGTTCTTTTAATTTCATTCAACTATTTTAAAACTTAGCAAAAACATAAAACTCCTTCCGAAATCAAAGCTGTTAAAATTGTAAAACAAATTTTGAGGACTATGGTTCATAGTTAGACTTCACCAAATTCTGCACCAATGACTATAAATAATGCACTAAGTGTGTCTATAAATTTTTGGGTCTACAATTTCTTCAGATCATACGACGAAAAACAGGTTCAAAATTGGCACAGGCGTCTTTGGCTGATCGCGCAACCAACATAAACAAGATCCCGACGAATCGAACACCACCTTTGAAGTTGATGAAAATATGTTTTTCTTTAAATACCTTGTTCTTGAAAAAATCATATTCTATTTATTTAATTACTTTTATTCTATACAGTTGGAGATAATGGCTTATCGATTAGTGATGACATGCAGTTTTTTTATCAGCATTATAGTAAACAATTATACAAATTCAAGTCGTCGTCGAGATTTAAAATATTATAATATAAAAATTTGTAAACATGTCCTGACTTCATTATTGGATATAGAACATACCTAGTCTAGCCATAAGTTCTGTTACAAATGAAAATGCATTTTTTTTAAATGAAGTAATGTAATACATATTATTAAAATTTATACATAAGAACATATTTTACTGTCTCAGCAAAAAATAAAAACAATATTCTATTCAAAATGGCCACCTTTGGATTTTATACAGGCCTTTTATCTGTTGGGCACTGTTTCCAAGGGAAATTTCGCCACTGCTTGCTCCAAAGATTTTTTAAAAGGCTCAATATCGCCGTGTCCTCAGAGCAGGCCATGTCCTCTAAAACTGACCATAATTTGAAGTCTAAAGGGTCTGGGCTAGATGAGGGCCAGTCTTCAGCTCTTATAAAGTCCGAAACGTTGCTTTCAAGCTAGGCTTGGGTAGTACGTGCCTTGTGACCAGGTGCAGAATCCTGCTGGAAAGTCCACGGTATATATTGAAAAAGTGTATTGCCGCGAGGTTTCACAATATGATCCAAGATTGTATCTTGATACACTTTAACTTAAGTTTTCACTCCTTTTACACAAAATGTAGTGACACGCCCCACCAAACCATCACTCCATGATGCAGGATGATGATCACGTTGTACCTTTCCGAAACTTTAGCATCTTCTTTATAACTGTACACCTTAGCATTTTGCTTATTGTAGTGTTCTTCAATCGTGAACTTGTTTTATAATACGCGACAGAGTCCTAGCGGGAATCTTCATTTCTAGCAATAAGATTTTTTGCTTCTTAATGGGGTTTCCGTGAATTCTGGCATTAACAGTTTTTGTACTTCTAACAGCACGGCTCCGATTTTTTCTGGTCTTCGACAGACATTTGATAATGGACATGAAAGAATATGTGAAATGGCGCAAAATCGAAAGAAGTTTTTAAAATAATATACGTATTTCAAATTCAAAATAATTAAAAAGTTGAAAAAAAGAAAAGTTTTTATGTAACAGTATTTATGGCCAGACTAGTTATATATTTATGAAATGATACAAAAACTGCACTTTTCCTGATCAAACATTTACTAAATATTATTTTTTTGTGGGTTCATAGTAGAAGCTGTATTGCTTACATAAAAATAAAAAATCCTTAAATAAAAATGCAATTTGCATTTCTATCAAATTGACCGATAATTTTTTTATTTAATTGATCTATATAGAAAGACATATGATTAGCATATAATTATAACATAATATGAGTATAATGTTATATTTTTTTATCTGGTATGTTTGCCGCACCAACAAGTAGTTACATAATATATTATTTTACGGATATCAAAGCACTTCGAGATAAAATAAATTTCAGTCTCATTTTGAGGTTCATACAGTTCACTGATCACAAAATAAACATAATTATAATTAAATTATTGTACGCGCATGACAATCAGTAAAGTTTTCATAGCTCTTAATAATTTGAAAATTCATCGGTATTTTGGTAAGTTTATTCTTTATAATATCAGGAAGATATACATCAGTATTTTAGTGTTAGGTATTCTCCTGGGGAAGGTTTTTTTTAAATGTATGAAGTTCGCGGAAGTGCGTGGTGTGTTTATTAATAAAATCTCTGTTTGAAATTTTTTATGACGGTACTGGTAGATTGAGACCTTGAGAGAAACATTAGGGTTTCATACTCCTATATATATATATATATATTTATATAATATGCTACTGTTGCGCGTCGGTGTGAGTTCAAGCGAGGCATAACTAAGATTAACGACGACCCCTGCACAAGACGGCCCCACCTTAGTAATGACTGAATAAATGATTATTTAAAGTAAAAAATAATTGTTTTGGCGGAGCGTCGTCTTAGGCCGTTTCTCCACTGCTCCGGTCCGGCAAACGTTAATTACCGATCCGATTTAGAAACTCACAACAGTACTTACGTACTTCTCCACTACTCCGGCATCCGGTTTTTAACGATCCGATAACTTGCTAAATCGGAACACGGAGTTTTATCGGTCCAAGTATCCAAGAGGTTATATATTATTATTCACAGGTTTATTTATAGTTTCTTTAATATGAAAGAATCTGGATAACCTGGACCAAACCAAATTATGTTGCTATTTATTTATATTTTTATACCATAGTGAACTATTTATTAAGTAGATTATAATATTTTAAGATAGACAATTTAAAAAAAGTAATAAACTTGCCAGGGCAATAAAATATTAAGAATTTAGAACGTTTTATTAATAAAATAAAGTATATGGGTTTTAGTTAAGACAAGTGTTGCATGATAAATATACAAGTATCGATTATTGTCGGATCGGATACAGTGGAGAAGCGCAATCCGGTTTTCCGATATTTTTCTCATGACTCATTCCGGTATCCGACGCCGGACCGGAGCAGTGGAGAAAGGGCCTTACGCTGGCCATAGACGGACCGCATGTTGCAGTCGAGACCGACTGCTCTAGAGCGGTCGCGTTGAAGTCGTACACGACTGCAACACGACCGCATAATGCAGTCCTCTACGACTGCTTCGAGCAGTTGTGTTCGACCGCAAAATAAAAGTGATGCGAGTTCATTTATAAGATGGATTTCGATGAAGAAACACTGTTTCTAGTACTACTATTACGCAACCGTAGGCGTAGAAAACACCTTAGCATGTGGAAGCGTCCAATACTACAACCAAGAGAACAGCATGGAATATTTCATACTTTGTATCCCGAAATGAGAGAAGACACTTAAAAGTTTTTCAACTACTTTAGAATGTCGGTGGTTTCATTTGATGAATTAGTTAGTATTTTATTTTATTTGAGGGAGTGGCGCGCGGTCAGCAGCAACCGCTTGTAGCTGTCCGTGTATGGTGGGTCCGGCAGCTCTAAGCAGTCGACCGCACGGCGAAACTCGACCGCAGAGCGACTGCTCCGACCGCTCAGAAACTGGTCGTGCGGTCCGTGTATGGCGGATATGAATTTAGTATGGAAACAGTTCACCGTGCGGCGACCGCTTAGAGCAGTCGGTATCGACTGCAACATGCGGCCCGTCTATGGCCAGCGTTACTGTCTATTTATCAATCTAGAATTGCGATGGTTGTCATTAAAGAAGCTCCATATTCACCTATAGGAGCTAGGATACCTAGCTAGTGATTTCTACCTATTTCCGCGGTTAAAAGAACTTCTCAGCTGCCATATATTTGAAGATGATGACGTAGTCGCTGTGGTACGTGCGGTGCGTACGATGTTTTAATAAAAGATAACTGCTTCGTACTCCATATCACTCAAAATTTAATAACTATTCAAATGTGTAATTACCTTTTATTGACAATTTAAATCAATCATTTCAGATGGCTTGGTTGGTTTGGTTTACGGGATTAGCCGTTTTGTCTGCAGTTCAGCCATATAAAATATTAGTACCCGTTATCTTACCCGGAAAAAGTCATGGTATCTTGGGTGAAGGATTGGTCCGACACTTACTTAATGGAGGTCACGAGGTAAATTGTATATTACATTAAAACACCATTAGCATTAGACATTTTGAGTCCATTATCGACATTATACATTATTGCTTATTGTTCAAATCAAAGAAAACACAATAGAAATATCCTCGAAATGATTTTTGTTTTAAATGAAGGTAAAAATACACGTCTTCTACTGGGCACTCGCAAACTGTGGGTACGGACTACGTTTACAGTTATTATTAACTATTACTAACCTAACCTACATATATATATATATATATATATATATATATATATATATATATATATATATATATATATATACTAAAAGTAAATACATCAAGTAATCTCAGGATCTACTGAATTGACTTATACAATCTTTTACATACAAACAGAAAAATTTGTGAGTGTCATAGGTATAAAAATTAATTAAAAATCTCATCTTAAAGTTTAATTTACCAAAAGAATAATAAAAGTCGTAAAAAAACCATTTTTGCGTGCTTGCTTCAATGATTTTTAGCCTATCCACCTGAAAAGGCCGATTACAACAAAAAAAGACTAATTAAATACCACTAATTACCAGCCAGAAGCTATGGAAACTTCTTTTTATACTTTTAAATTGAAGTCGAATGTTTGGGCAAATCCAGCTAAAAGCTAAACTTCTAACTTTAAAACCTTTTGAGTAGCTTTAACTAATTTTAGGAAGCTAACATTTTTTTTATTTTAACAACATTTAAAATAATCATTCCACAGAAAAAAAACTGCAAAATACCAACAACAAAAAAAGATATCAATTTTTGAAACCTCGCTGGCACCCAAGTAACACAAAACAACATTATAAGAAGCGTACAACAGCATGGACTTACGTGCAAAACAGTATATGAGCAGCATATGTAGCACTATATCAGCCGTTTATAAGTTTATAAGTGTCATATAAGCTCAATTTGGGCCCCAAATAATACGGCTTTGAGCATTTTTAAATATTATTAGTGCTGCTAACCAGCGCTTATAATGTTATTGAAGACAGACATTAGTAAAGTTGTGAGACAGCATATTCTAATGTAAAAAGCATTTTTTTAGATGTTAGTACAGCTTTTATACAGCTTTTTGAATTACAATGCCAAAGTTACGTTTTATTCTAAGGCTGAACGTTTTATTTTCTTTGTATAAAAATATTTGAAAAAACTTATCGTAACTTATATGTCCGAATTGATTATATATATTTCGTTTAGTGTATTGCAGTGCATTGGTGTTGTGCGGAGACGTTTTAATGTGTCTTCATTGAAAATAATTTATCATAAGGTAAGACAAACATCAATTTTATTTTGTTTTGAATGCAAATGAGTTGGGGGTATTAGTCTTATGTGAAAATATATATATGTTTGTGGCTTATAATTCACGCGCCGTCACAGAAATGCTTTTTAATAAAAAATAGGGACAAATTTAGAATCGACATCAGCTGACCTTTTGTAATTTTTTAACGATTTCATTAATTTTAACGTATAAAATTGTTTCTATCGATACTTCGCTTATAAGAAAAACATAATAAGTAGTATTTCATTCATATGTGTGTTATAATTTTATTTTTTATGTTCGAGAAAACAGAAAGCAAATGGCGTCATGTAATATTAATGTTCTAAACTTTCAACTAGTGTCTTTTAATGTTGTCAGTCTTATTATAGTATAAAAAAATAGCTTAAGTCATTCAACCTACATAAAAAATATCTAAGTGATATCTTTAGCATTATAGTAACACTTTTTAGGCATGTTATAATGTTTATTACCCTTATACGTCATAAAAATGGATTGCTATAGTGTTAATCAGGGTACCGAAATAATAATTTAGAATCCCTTAATTACATGATACCCTACTCCACGTCTTTCATATTTTATCTGTCTCCAGTTAGATAATTTGCCAAGTGTAAGTATAAAATCATTATCACAATAAATGAGTTGGGGAATTCCCTGAATCATGTGCCCGAATAGAACGAACGGGACGTGCGACTTAAAGTCGATAAAACAACAATCCCTACAAAACGTGACGTCACTTGCACCAAGAGAACGACCTCTATTCATTAGTAGTACTTGATTCCTGTACCTGTGACGACGCGCGCTCATTTGCTAAATATTGTGTATTTTATTTTTGAATTAATTTAAACACCGGCGTGATCACGATCCCTTACAGGTACCAATTTAGTTGTAGTGTGTATAGGAAAGGAATAATAAGGTAGATTACCTACTAAGGTAGGTATACTCCTACGCTAAGCGTGCCACTACATAAAAGTACCTAGTGAATTGAAACACGATATTATTATAATCTTATTTTTCGCACATTGTAATTAAAGGAACTTTTTGTAAATACGTTTTAAGGGCACGCGTTATACGGGTACTTATTTAGTTTTAAGGTAAAGTACCTTCTCTATTAAGTCCTAAATAAGCTCAATTGTTTTTTTCAGATGCCTTTTAAAATTGTGCAAACGACCGAAAGGGGATCAACTAAACTGTTTATTGTTCCAAGCGGGTGGGAAAGCCAGCGTCAACTGCGATATCCAAAAAGACCTAATGAGTCTGCATTAGTAAGGAATGAAAATTCCAAGCCTCGCGCAGATTGGTCAGTGTTGCCTTGTAAAGTCAAACGGACGGGTTTTTTAGCCTATGAAGATGCTGACGAGGAATTGTCAATTATGATGCAGCATAGCGACACAGATACCGGCCCCACTATTTATGAAGCCCAAAGAGAAACCCAGCTCGCAATGTCAGGATTACCAGATTTCAATAACTTGGCCGACTACGGAACCACTTGCTAGAACTTCTTGAACGGTGCTTGGCTCATACACAACTACCGATTGTTCTGTATTTTGTGTATCAAGAGTATCATTGTTTGGAACACGTTTTTCATTACTTAAACCAGATATAAAATTTGAGTATTTCATTTTTATCTTTCTCTTTACTCCACCTGTTCTCTTAGTCTTTTTCCACTGTTTATTCATGACAACAACGTGACACGTGCGACATAAAATTACTAATGAGTATATATATATACTAACGCACAAATGAAAATAATCATACTACTCATGGTTTTATGGCCAAATTATGACCTATAGTAATAAAATTAAATTTTTATTTATCTAAATAGTGCTGAAAGCTTTAAAGTAACAATAAAGTAAGAAGATAACAGAGCTAAAACTTTAGTAAATGTTTGGCTAATGCTTAGCTGTAAATAAGCATAAGAAAAGATTATAAAAATGCGTTTAATCTTAAAAATGTGTTAATAAATCTAAGTTCACTATAAAGTATTTCGACAACGTTTATTTAATGTATTAGGTTTTCTTATTTACTAATATAAGGTCTTAACCTTTGTGTTAGTGTAAATGCTGTTTAAGGTGCTGTATATTAAAAGTAATTAATGTTTTAGTATGATTATAAGCCAATTAACCTTATTTTTTAGACCATACAATAGCTTCATGCATTATAAATTTTACCACATTCTACTGAAAAGCATTTAAACTAAGTCAAAACTGATTTAAAGTGATAGTCTGACTTTAAAACGTAAATCAGTCTTTACTTCAGTGAATATACAGATTACGTGTTACTTGGGCAGAAAACATTCAAAAAACACAAAAAAAATTTAACTCGAAAACTACAAAAAATCGCGGAACATACATGGGGTATTTTTATACACCCCCAGGTGTGAGGGATCTAAAAAACATTTATTGACGTCACTAGTTGGACTACCCTGTATATAAACTCGAAAAATTAAGTCTTTTTAGATGCCTTAACGATGATTGAGTTGGAGAGAAAAGTTATAACAAAAACGTCAGCTACTTTATATACAGTCTAACTATTATATTATTAAATACTATACATAAAGATGAAGCTTAAAACGAACGTCATTCATTCACATTTATTTCGAGGTATAATTGATAGGTAATATAGGCCCAGCGTACTGCAGAACGTCGATATTAAAGCATTTAAACAAGAGGGGGAATTATATACATATAAGAATTGCCATTGCGGAATTCTCTTCTTTCATAAGGAATTGTGACATTTGATCTTCATAGGTAATGTGGCCCCAACCCCCCCGCAATCACGTAGGCCGCCTACGGCCCAGCGCACAGCGCGACCTAGTTTTATATAAAACAAGCTTCACCTGTTTGACTGTTCGCGATAAACTCAAAGAGAAACGCATGAAATTTTTGGGGTTTTCTCCAATATCTAGAATGATTCGATAAGGAATATTTGGTTAAATAATAAGGGTTTTCGGGTCACAGTCTCCCGTGCGAAGCCGGGTGGGTATAAAATGAAATGAAGGGGACTGTTTTGACATAAATTATTGATTTGGTTTCTCATGAATATTTTCAAAGCGTTCTTCATATTAAATATTAAGGTACAAATTAAATATTTTAGGTAACATACATCACTCCATATCCACCAAAGCCGCAGAAAAATTTGACAGTCATCGATGTTAGCGAAAACATAAAAGGGATAACTGGTAGGTACTTTCAATGGTCCTCGTTATTGAACTATTCATAAAATGTATTTACAAAAATTAGTTCGCACTTACGACACTATAATAACATGTAAGTATATTTTACAATGATTTTTGGCGCATTTAATATTCTAAAACTGTTTCGTATAAATTGTCTAAATGTTATTTATTATAGCTATAATATGTATTTTAAGTTATGTAAAATTGGCTGTGGAACTTATAATTCCAAAATCGACTAAAATATTTGTGATATTTACCGCGTGATAACATTTTAGAAACAACACCTAAATGTTTTAGCAAATTTGTTATAAAATGTCAATATAGCCAGTCCAGCATAATTACTCGCAAATATTTCAAGTGATATTGGGTGCTCAGGAATCGTTATTTATTTATTTTATTTATTTATTTGCTCAACAGTATTTATTAAAAGGCTTTTGCTCAAAAGTTATCCGTAAACATACCCACCAATAAAAATATTATTTTACTTATTAATAAAAAATATTTGGTAGTAAACTTTATATGGGAAAAGTAAGTTATGCATTTCTTTATTATACAGGTTTGTGCGATGTAAAAAAAATGATGGATGGTGAGACAGAACTTCAATCTTTGTACATACTCATGGATATATTGGTGGAAATAGGCAGAATCACCTACAAAAGTGATGTGATGCAAAAGTTTCTTAGTGATCATACCCAGAAATTCGACCTTATTATAGCAGAGTGGGTCTTCCATGACTTAAACGCTGGGTTAGTTTTTTATATTCTAAAATCTTGTTTTCAAACCAAGCATTCGCATTTTAGTAAAAGTCATATTGAAGTAAAGCTTAGAAGATAGTTATGAAAGTATACTATGTGCGGCAGAAATTATCTACTATCTATTGCTTTCGCTTATAGCAGATGTCTGTTGGCAACAAATTTTTTTGGATGATAATATGCGTCAGTGGTGGGTGATCTAGAATAAAACATATCTAAAGTTATGGAAATATCTTTATTGCTAAATATTTACTTTCAGAATCTCAGCGGTATACGATTGTCCGTTCATTTGGTTATCGTCTTTAGAACCTCATTGGATGGCTTTGAGACTTATTGACGAAATGCCGAATCCTGCGTATGTCTCCCATTTATCGTCAAATAATGCTCCGCCCTTCAATTTCTGGCAACGACTTGAGGAGCTAGGAAATCAAGTATATGGATCTTGGCTGCATTACTTGTAAGTTAATACGAATAAGTTCTAGCAATTAAAATTTTCTTAGAATAAAAATACTTTGTGAATCATGTATAATATAGGAAAGTCAATAAACATGGTAGTCATACGGCACGTCTATTTTGTTAAAATATATATAAATATAAATTATGTGGGATGCAAAGTTCGTAACTTAAAATAGAAAAAAAATCTGATAGAATTTGATTTGGTACTGTGTGTCTTCGAGAGCGATACAACGATTATTGCGGTCATAAAAATTTTCAATACCATTTTCAAAGTACGATTTGTCTTTAGCCTCAGTAGGCTTCAGTTTCGGCGATTATCTTTCATCAGCGCAAAATTTCTGTCCAGCTAGCATTCTCTTGGCGTCTGAGAACAGGATACAATATTTATCACATTGTTACATGTTAGCAGCTTAAAGAATATATTCCAGTACGTCATTGTCTTTATGTGTTTTATCTACCGTACTAAATTGAGGCATCAGTTTTATTTAAGATATGTTTCTGACATCGATAGTGTACGTATTCTCTCGTAGTGTGAAGTTCCGAAGATATACATGACATTTAACAATTTTCTAATTACAGTTACATAGCACCAAGAGAAAATAAAATATACGAACAATACCTTGTTCCCCACGTAAAAAGCCGAAACAAGCCTGTACCGAGTCTAAATGAATTGAGTTATAACGCATCCTTGATGTTTGGAAATTCGCACGTGTCCCTCGGTGAGGCAACAAGACTGCCTCAGAACTATATACCTATCGGTGGATATCATATTGAAACGGATGTCAAGCCATTGCCAGATGTAAGATCACGATTTTGACTTGTAATACTTAAAAACCTAATTGTGTATAAAGAAACATTAGTCTACCTATATTGTGTGTTTAAAAGATATGTACTTCACTTCGTGAAAAAAAATCAAATTCATTGATAAACCAAGCATAGAAAACTTCTGGTTAAATTGCGGTCTAGCATCAACTAAACATTTTTTTATTCTCTTGTAGGACTTAAAAAAAGTTATGGACAATGCGAAACACGGTGTGATATACTTTAGCTTGGGATCCAATTTGAGAAGTCAAGACCTTCCTGAGGCTGTAACGAGAGAAATTCTTCAAATGTTTGGTGAATTGAAGCAGACTGTCATATGGAAGTTTGAGACAGACTTACCAAACAAGCCTAAAAACGTACACATTGTACACTGGGCGCCGCAGCAAAGTATTCTTGGTTAGTATTCTGTATGTTAATTTTGGGACCGTTCGATCTGAATGTTTAGCTCTAAAGTTACGTAACTATGGACTGAAGTTTATTAATTATGATGTATTTGGAAGAAGTAACAAAAATTACAGATTATAAATGTCAAAATTACACCTAAAATAATTAATTTCTAATTTATAATTGGATACTTGTTTAGTTAGATATATGTAATAGAACAATAATTTCTAATTTATAATTGGATACTTGTTTAGTTAGATATATGTAATAGAACAATAATTAAAATAATAGAAAATAATTTTTATGTAAATCTAAAACACAAGCAAATTAAAATCGGTACTCTCTACCAGGGGCAGCTAAATCTTATTAAAATTAGCATGTTTCTAATATTGTATCATAGGGAATCTGTTAACAAGTATATAAATGCGTAATTTTTGGGTTATAGCTCATCCAAAAACCCTCTTCTTCATCTCTCACGGGGGTTTATTATCGACAACTGAGTCAGTTCATTTTGGAGTCCCAATGATTACAATCCCAGTCATGGTCGATCAGTTTGCGAATGCTGAGAGAGTGGTTAGAAAGGGCTTTGCTATTAAAGTGAACCTTTCTTATACAATGGTGAAGGATATACGAAATGCTATAAAGGCAATGCTTGCTGATCCTACGTAAGTATCTTTAAAAGACGTATTATAGTCAGACATCTTTCTAATTCTTAGTGAACCTTCTTAGAGAAGGAGAGAAATATGGCTAGAGATTGAGTAAATTATTAATTGTATGATGAGCTACGAAGGGATATTTTTAATAGACGAGGCATGGTACACATATTTCTGATCCCATGAGAATATGTGTATGTGTACCTATACCTGTAGGATCTCTTTGTTCATTGTTAGAAAAAAATTTTTTTGTGCAGATATACAAAGACAGCAAAATCGCTGTCATTCGTCTATCACCATAGACCTTTATCGCCTGGGGAAGAAATCCGCCATTGGGTGGATCACGTAGTTAAGACTAATGGCGCAATGCATCTGAGATCTCCGGCACTTAACGTGCACTGGTACCAAAAGCTTTACATCGACCTACTTGCTGTTATCCTAGTATCTCTCGCTGTTTTGATTGGTTTGGCTAAGAAATATACAGCAGGAGATAAAAATAAAAGTGAAAGAAATAAAAAGTATAACTAATATTAATAAGATGTAACTTTGTATTTATTTACATCAAATTTTAAATGTAAAACGGACGTGCATGTATATGTGTTAAGCAACTTCCTTTTATTATTATTTGATATATTCCATTGTTATTAAATTACCCAACATATTTTTTTAATAAAATATTTGACAGTCGTTTTATTTATTAGCTTTAAATATTGACATACATTCTAAGATTAACTACGAGTACCTGTGGAAAACATCCAATAATCCAAGCTTTCTAATCGACATGATTTTGCTAACTTAATAAAGAGTGTTAATAAATAAAAAAAATAAAACATGAATAAAAAGACTTTTCATTGTTCATAATATTCTGTATGAATATCGTCGTACCACGTTATCATGCATGGGAAGTCGTGGACATTATCTAGTAGCGTATTATTTAAGTAATGTATTCGAAGATTGACTGTTGGTAATAGGTTAGTTGAAGGTCAATCTACATATATTCGAACAGCGCAATAGATTGGACCGGTTGTGTTTCTGAAATCTAGACGGAAATAATCGTAAGTATTTTTTATATGATATAGACAAACACAATAGCGATAACTGTGTTCACTTTGAAATATTACAGACTTTGCTATTGAACTTTGAACTTGGCTATTTTCAATTAATATGAAATACAAATTAACATTTATTTATTTATATATTCATTATACAGTCATAAATTAAGTGTGTATAAAAGAAATTTATTCAAATAAACTTTGTACAATGTACTTTTTAAAAGCAATTTTTTTGTATCAACTTGGAAATAAGTTCTACGGAGAACCGACATATAGGCTTAAACTAATATAAGGTCGTACTTCTCAAGCTTCTATTGTATTGTTTTGTTATTTTATTATTTATAGTCTATATATTTACATAACTATTTGCTCATAATATTTTTAGATAATGGATTTGTGGACAGTGTGCTTGTTGACCTTGGCCACGATCACCAACATTCAAGCTCATCAAATTTTAGTCGTAATAACCTTGCCAGGGAAGAGTCATGGAATTCTAGGAGATGGTCTTATACGGCATTTACTAAAAGCAGGCCACGAGGTACTTAGAGATTTTTTTAAAGTAAACAATTATTTTAGAAATATTATGGTGTAGAAATAGGAAAAGTGGCGCAGCTTAACTTCTGCAATAATCTGTGGTAAAATGTTTTGGTGCCATAAACTGATATTTGAATATGAATAAACTCACTGCATACGATGATAAATATATTATAATTTTAGGTAACATTTATAACACCTTATCCACCAAAGCCACAGAAGAATCTAACGGTCATTGACGTTAGTGATAACAGTAAAGTTCTTGCTGGTAAGTTAGTGATAAAATTGAAGTGAATGGACATACAAAAGCTACTTTTACATTGTAAAGTGCACCGTAGCTCAGGTCAATAAAACCCCATAAATTAATAAAACCAAAAAAATTAATAAACCCCAAAAATAATTCACACGAACCCCAAGTATTAACGGAACAATCTAGGTAAAGATGGTTGTGAACATAATATTAGGTATAATATGTTCATAATCGCCTCCCCCATAAGAGCACGTAATCAAACACACGTCCAATTAATCTCATTTTTTCGAGGTTTTTGAAGTGGATTTCTTATGATACGTGCATCCTAAACAGCATGGCATGGCAACGAAGCAGAGATATAACCGGCCCCTAATTTAAGAATAAATTTAAATTGCCTGCAAAGTAACAAGGTGTCTAATAAATAATGGCGACTGACATTTCTCAGCTAGCAAATAATGCTAATATTATACAGAGGAAATACATAACATCTTTGTTTGCATTAAATATACTCTAAAACTAATTGACGGATTTGAATATTTCACCATTAGAATCTTGTTTCAAAAAATTAGAATTTCGTATAATCTCTTCCACAATGTTACTTAAACTGAGTAAAAAAAAACAATCAAAATCCTGATATCATGTACGCTTTAGAAGACATCAGTATCTTATAATCTTTAAAAACTTAAAATCGCGTCTGGCACATAGTTAGCAATGTCAAAAATGTCTGGTAATAAAAAATGTAAAAATTACGCTTCTTAAAATGCTTTTAAAATCCATGATTATTACCTGGACCTACCTGGTTGCGCACTAATGGACGCAACCGCTACCGCCAGCCAGATAGCCCAGACTCTAACCAAAAGTGCAAGAAGGAAGACATATCACAAAGTCAGCTGACCTGAAATTCTTTCTCGAAAACGTTGCTACCTTACCTTATGAGTAAAAGTCCGAGATACCGAATGTTTATATTTAATCAAATTAAGCCGGGATTGAGCGCTAGTAAATGATAAAATCAACTAATGTTTTTTCTAACCTAAAGGTTATTCTCTAAAGTGCACCAAACAAGTTAGGTAAATAATGTTATAAACTCGTAAGAGGAAGTTTATTTACTCTATTCGAGTCGCGCATGGAGTCTCTTTCAAAGCTTCTCTATATATCTGTGGCCATAGGTCAGAATATGATAAATGCATAAACATTACTTTGAACTTTTCATTGTCTGATGATTGATGTCTATGATATTATATGTATATGATTGACTAAAGTTTTACGATAGGTGGAGTGTTGAATATTCATAACATGATGAAGAAAGATGTTGATCTCCAATCTACATACATGTTGATGGATATTTGTACCGAAGTTGGTAAAGCTACCTTAATGAACCCTGCTGTCCAGAAATTACTGAGTGATCGGAGTCAAAAATTCGACATTATTATAACTGAATGGCTATACCAGGAACTTTATGCAGGGTAATGATAATAATATTAATAGATTTTTAGATAACGTTACTTTATTTTTAATGTTTTTGATATTTTATTTAGCCCCAAAGGAAACTTAAATTTACTAATTTAAAATTGCCCTTTTCCAATTCCTGCAAATTTCTTTCCTTCTTTAATTCCTTGGAATAATAAAATATATTAAAAAATTAATAATTTTTAATATGAATACGATACTTTAGTTTTGCCGCAGTCTTTGATTGTCCTTACATATGGTTCTCGTCCCTCGAGCCTCATTGGATGGTTTTGAGACTGATTGATGAAATGCCGAATCCTGCTTATGTGTCAGATAGCTCATCGAATAATGCTCCACCCCTGTCTTTCAAAGAGAGAATAGAAGAACTTATTAGCCAAGTACACGGACTGTGGTTATATTATTTGTAAGTATTTTATTTAAAATTCGAATGGAACATTTGATGGAACCATTGATTGCAGAATTCCAAGAACAGGCGCTTTGTGGGTTATTAATGTAAATTTTCCTTATAATTACTATTTACTCGTTACTAGGCGTAAGATCTTAATTTATTCCTATCCTTCACTTTTACAAATACCTTAGCCTTTGGGTCCTTTTGTAAGCAAATTAAGGCATCATAGATATTACTATATTGATAGATCAAGAACTTCTTAAATTACACTTAGGCCTACCTACCTACTGTTATATTAGAGTCATGACAATATTTCAGATATATTACACCAAGAGAAAACCAGTATTATGAGACCTATCTGGTACCTCATATTCGTAACAAAAGTAAACCCGTGCCGTCTCTCAGCGAGTTGAAACTAAATGCATCACTTATGTTGGGCAATTCTCATGTCTCCCTCGGCAGTGCTACCAGATTGCCACAGAATTATATACCGATTGGAGGATATCATATTGAAGATGATGTGAAACCACTGCCTCAAGTACGTATATGTAAAAGAGCAAAGTCATAGGAGTTTAAAATTAATTTGAACTATTGAAGATAAAAATAATCTATGTAGGTAAATAAAAATGAATCGCAATCAAATATGTCGCAATCGTAATCGGATTCAAAATATGTTGCTATGTAAAACTCTAAGACGGCAGGATCAATTCGAATATATATTTTTTTATTTATTCCTTGAACTCTGAGGAAGGTTTTTTCGGAGAGTAAAATTTGAAAAAGATTAAAAGAGCAATTGAATTTTTATCCGGAAAAGCGAGCTGTCTCTATGTTCCATATGTTTGTATTTAGCTTCGAAATATGGTGCAACGAAGTTGACGGGGGCAGCTAGTAATGTAATAATAATGAGTGGATTTCAAAAAGGAAATTTGTCGTCATGATTTATATTTTAATTAATCTTTAATATAGCTTGTACTATAGATTATTTTTAATGATTTGAAATTGAATGTTACCTTCGTTTTTCTATGCGTATATATACAACTATACTTCAATTGTTTATTCCAGGATCTACAAATGATAATGGATAGTGCAGGCCACGGTGTGATATACTTTAGCATGGGATCTAACTTGAGAAGTGAGGACCTCCCTGAAACTGTGACAAGAGGAATTCTGAAAGTGTTCGGTGGACTCAAACAGACTGTCATATGGAAGTTTGAAAAAGATTTACCCAATCGGCCTAAGAATGTTCATATTGTACACTGGGCGCCACAGCAAAGCATTCTTGGTAATAAACAAAACGTAAAAAATAGGTTTTAGTAATTTTGGTCGCTCGATATTGATAGCGTATTAAATGCGCTTTTTATGAATGTGTCTATTTATACATAAACAGGTTTTCTGTAAACCTTGAATAATTTAGTATTTATTGAACAAAATCGTTTCAGCGCATCCCAAAATTTTGTTCTTCATTTCTCATGGTGGTCTTCTATCAACGACTGAAGCTGTCCACTTTGCAGTTCCTATGATCTGTATACCTGCTATGGTGGACCAATTTGCCAATGTGAACAGAGCAGTCAGTAAGGGATTCGCAATTAAAGTAGACCTTTCGTTTAATATGGATAAAGATTTGGAAATAGCCATTCATACAATGCTAAGTAACCCCAAGTAGGTATTACGGTTTGTGCTAAAATAGTAAAAACTTGTTTAATTATCTCTTACAAATGTAATATATGTATCTATATAATGTATCTATCAATCAATAGGCGACTCTAAATGTTCAGAAACATCACTTAGTTTGAATTAACTACGGCACGTGAAAAAAGTATTGGATTTTGTATGGCCGTTAATTTTATTTGTACTTATATTTTCTGGCTCATCCAAAAATACCATAAAAAGGATTAAATAATTAAAAAAAATATTGAATAATAATGTGAATAAAACAATGAAGGATTCACCGAAGCATATACCAAACTTTTCTTTACAGATATACAGTAAAAGCCAAAGAATTGTCATTTGTGTACCACCATAGACCTGTACTGCCTGGTGATGAGATCCTGCATTGGGTGGATCACGTAGTGAAGACGAATGGTGCGGTGCATCTGAGACCTCCTGCACTGGACATGCCCTGGTACCAGAAGTTATACCTCGACTTACTTGTTGTCGTCCTAGTATTTTTTATAGCAATCATATTTATCATAAAAAGAGTTTTAGGTTTAAGTAAAAGCAAGAAAACTAAAACAAATTAAATAATGACAACTGTAATACAACATAGGGAATCTGTTTTGTTAAAAAAAATATCTGGTAATGTTGGTTAAAAAAAAAAAAATTATGAAAAAAAAACGTCTTATACTATCGTAATTATTTGCATTCCACAAATAAAACTATGAAAGAGAATTGTGAAGGAACTACTAAAAAAATATTAATGGTTAGTGATAATATTTAAATTAGGAATACACGCGTCACAAACTTATTTATCTACACAACATTTTCACAAGCCAAAGTGTTTTTCTCAGGGCGTAATAATAATAAAAGCCTGTTTAATTTCCAACATTACAAACAAAATAAATAATATCTTACTGCTTATATTTTTTTTTGTTATCTTTTATATCCTATATCCTAGCTACCTTCAGTAGGTACCGTCGATCGGAATCCCTTCATTTCAGTTCATAAGTGTACTTGTTTACCTACCTATATGAATAAAATTATTTTGACTTGACATCAAAGCCTCTAACAACAGGGAGGTAAGAAATGTAAAAAAGAAGTTAATTTATTGATGCAATGTTTGCTAGTTGCATATTACCATTTTTACTAATTTTCTCAGTTTTCGATTGTCCTTACATATGGACAATCAAAAAATAATATATATAATATCAATCCTGGAGCCATATTCGATGGTTTTGACATTGATTGATGGAAATCTGAATCCTGCTTGCTATTGTAATAAAAAAATATAATAAATATAATTACTAATTGTTTTTGATTAAAGAAGTCTACATAAGGCCCTCGCTTTCTTAGTTGTTTTCTAAGGGAAGAAGGAATTATTGTTTTACGAAGTTTAATATGATATATGTTAATGTTTCTGTTGTATTGATTATATATAAAAAACTTCTTGTAATACGTAACGGATGTAATTATAAAAATTCGCCCAACGCTTCAAACATCAGAATATTAGTTTATCGAAAGCTCACCCCCAAACTTTATTGTTCATTAATCATTGGTTTTCTAACAAAGACGGAGGGAGACCACTTCGCAGTTCCTATGATCTGTATCTGATCTGCTATGGTGGACCAATTTACCAATGTGAACAGAGCTTTAAGAAAGGGATTTGCTATTCAAATAGATCTTTCGTTTACGATGGACAAAGATTAGCAAACAGCGTTCTCAGTTCTAATAGATTATTTAGTTTCATTATTATATAGTGTGTGTTAAGGTTACGCACGGAGTTTTTAAATATACATTTAGAATCACACATTTTACACTTAGCAGTGCACCTCCTATTACCAAAAAGATAGTCATTCGAAAATTCTGCCGTAGACAAATACGTGATTTTGATGGAAATGTTGAATCAGCGTTTTGTATTTCAGATATGCAGTCAAAGCCAAATAATTGTTAATTCATCTATGACTAGTAGACGTTTATCGCCTGGTCAAGAAATTCTCCGTTGGATGGATAACCTAATAAAGACAAGTGCAGGCATGACAAGTGCGGTAAATCTGAAATCTCCAGCACTCCACATGCCATGGTACCAAAAGTTGTTCTTAGATATAGTTGCCGTTGTCCTAGTATTTTTAGTATTAATAAAGTTAATTCTATAAGATATATTAACACTTTTAACCAAAAATTACAGAAAAAAGATACAGTAACCAACGGTATTATTACGTCAAAACTAAACTTAATACTTTAGATATTACGATCAAATAAAATTTAAGTATTACAAGTTTTTCTATAACGCTCAGAATTTATATAAGAATGTGACTGTAATATAAGTTATAACGTTATTATTATATATGTTATATTTATCAATTCAATGATTACTGACACAAAATAGACTGTTTATTATAAGTACTATTTGTCTTGATAGACACGGTTGAAAGAGAGGAGCAGTCTCGATGGAGATCTTGCTCTGAACGCCTAACAGCTCTCAACACATCTGCTCATAGTCTAGCTGACTGATTGCAAGATAAAGACTTATATAAAAAAAAATATATACTTGTTATTTGTGTAATAAAAAAACAATGAACAATTAACATGTCATAGTTTATACAAACGTAACTCACATAAGAGATTGCAATGACCCCACTCCTTCCACTGAAGTCAAGTTGAGGGTAATTGTTCCAAGGTCAATCCTTTGACAAAAATATTTCGATCCAGAACAGGATACATTTCACGTTGTTATATAGTGTCAGTAAAAATAGCCTTATAAGACCTTCAAAAATTATTTATCGCTTTATACGTATCTAATGCTCTTGGTTAACAAGACGAATGAATGTAATAAGAAATATTATGTTGGATTCTTTTTTGTGCATTTTGAAGTCGTTCTCTTTATAGGCATTTAAAAGAATAATAATAGAAAAGACAATGCAATCACCACTGTCGGCGGCGGCGTCTTCCGATGTCGAACGTGCAGCAGATTGAGATTCGGGTTTTATTGGTTGCTGCCATTCCGATATGCGGAGATTACTACAGACCAGCCTTGGGATTCTGTAACTCACTTTTGAACTCAAATTTAAAATTATGTAAAATAATTGTAAATTTATAATAATACATAACTTCAATCCGGTAAAAAAGTTTGTTCTTTAAATAAGTTCTTTAAAAAAAACTATTTAGTAAACACATTTACAAACATATTATTATTACTAAAAATACATATGAGTCAAATTGTTTGTTGTCGTCTACATTTAAAACAAATGATATGGATAAGAACATTATATCCAAATTTAAAAAAAAAAGGAAAGTGCACCAGTAGCATTGTAATATTAATAATTACTAGTTCGAAACGATGATTTTCAAAACTATTACTTCATCATACAAAGTGTGACAAATTATTGCCTGTAGCACGTTGTGTACGAGATATACTAAAAGTTGTTCGATTTTCGGCATGTTCTAAACGTCCGTAGACGTTCATAAACATGCATTATATTGATAATGGTATAGATAATCCTTCATTTTTCACGCATTTCTACAGTGTATGTTTATGGTTCATTTGTCTTAGCATGATCATGATGGATTACAATAAATGAAAATTTAATTGTTTAGAATTGAATTACAGAAAAGTGAGTAAAATTGAGTAATTCATTTTAAAAAAATGTTAGCTTGTGGGAGTGTTAGCTTCTTAACAAAGCGAAAAACTTGCCGCCCTATTGTACCTTCGTTAGCGTGGTAATTGTTATCTGTATATTTTCTTAGTTTTCTGGAATGCTGTGTTTTGTTATCTATTTTAGTTGTTAGATTCTCCAAGTCCTGACGTTGAATTTGCTCTGGAGCGAAATATATCATATGTTTTGTTTATTTTCTTGGGAGCCGTTATGTCATCCTTGTGTTGCTGTTTATTTTCAGGTGGTTATTTGGATTGTGATCGTTTCCTTTTAGAGTCTGTCGATCCCTTCTCCTTTACTATCAGCTTATCATACCTTATAAAGGCGATTTTTCCATTTTTCTCTTCCTGTTCTTTCTTTTGCTTTAGACTCTTTCTTATTAAGATGACATCTTTAGGATAGTCTTCCGTTGCATATATATTCAGAGGGAAGTTTTTGTTATTTTTTAAGAGCTCGTATTTACGCCATGTTAAAGATGGAAACCAGGATTGGTCTTATTTTGTTTCCAATTTCCTTTCCAAATCTCCCAATGATCCCACTGGCGCACCCCTTCGCTTCGCCGTGCTGTTTCGTTTAATACATCTATTGGGTTTTTCCAGAGTTCAGCTGTGCTATTTTCCGTTTCCGCAATGCCATGTGGTATACATTGTTCTTTCTTGCTTCTCTTTCCAAGTTTTGCACGCGCAATTGAAAGATTTTCACTTCTTTTAGTCTCTGGGTTTCGGCTATAAGAGGACTCAGTTTTTCGTCAATAGTGTTTAAAATGCTTTTCGTGAACTGTTCAGCCAGTTCTTCATTTTGTTCGTTGAAAGATTGTTTCATCTCCTCCATTTTTTTAAGACGGTTTTCAATTGGGGTTCCATTTTGGGTATTTGTTTCAAAGTACTTACTTAATTCACTTGAATGCTTAGAACGATATTTTGATGTACTAACCATTAATGTTTAACTTATTTTCTTATACGCTACGGTACGCTTTCTTTCCTTTTAATATAATGATTATTATTTATATGATTTTATTTAATTAATAGGAAATATAAAGGATTTCGAAATTGCACATTAATAAATGCTCCTTCAATAATGCTACAGTACAAATGTCACTGCAATAAATGCTCTTTACAGTAATTTGTACGTATTTACCTCGACTTTATGCGATATTATCTTTAAGCAACACGGTCGTAGATATACAAAATAACCACGTCGAAAATCTTCCAATCTGAATTCTAAATTCACTTGCACATATTTTTATTGTTCACATTTTTTAGTTCACACTTTTGAAAAGTCGATTTTTGTATTTATTCCGTTATCCACAAAGCAACTATCTTTTCCAGAGAAAAGATAGTCCGCTGAGACTGTCTAATAATTACTTTTTATGGTATAATTTTACGATTCACTATATTAAATAGTGAAAGAAATGATTATGAAACGTCAATTTTAATTTGGTTTCTTATAATTAATAGTCCATTGAAATGTTATATGGGCTGAACATTTGTTAGAGGACGCAATTTTATTTATGGGACATGTTTCAATAAGCTTGTATTGACCCCTCTACATGTCCCATAAATAAAATTGCGTCCTCTAACAAATGTTCAGTTTGGCCCTCAAATTGTAACATTTCAATGGACTTTAAATATTATTGCTTTACCGTTTTAAATGTTGAAACATTTTTATCTTTAAAACGTGTCTTAGCATTTTTACTTCTATTAAGTTTTTATAGGTAATACTTTTTAATGCATCTATGTTTATGATGTCTTATTTTGTCTAATTTTTCCGTATTTGATTAAATGTTCATATTTTATTTATTTCAGGATCTTCAAATAATTATGGATAACGCTAAAAACGGGGTTATTTACTTCAGTTTGGGGTCGAACCTAAAAAGCAAACATTTCCCCCAAGAATTAAGAGAAGGACTACTTAAGCTTTTTGGAGAATTAAAACAGACTGTTATTTGGAAATTTGAAGAACAATTAGAGACTCGTCCAAAGAACGTTCATATAGTACAACGGGCTCCTCAGCAGAGTATCTTAGGTATGTTTTTTTTAATGTAATTCATTTACTTCTGCTGTTTCAAATAAAGGGAATCACGACTTCATTTGCGTCTTAATGAGACAATTTCATAATTACCCGACTAGTTTATATTCATTTTTCTCTCCACTTACTGCACACGGCATTTTGTTAACGTATGCAAACAATATGTAATTTATTTTATTTGCAGCGCATCCAAATTGCGTTCTTTTCATTAGTTACGGAGGCACTTTGGTGTTCCTATAATTGGGATCCCAGTATTTTCTGATCAGTTCACAAATATTGAGATAGCTGTTAACAAGGGCTATGCGAGAAAGACCTCTCTATCTATTCGATGGTGGATGACTTAAGAGAGAGCGTACGTGATGTATTAAACAATCCCAAGTACTCAACTCAACAAGTTTTTACTCATTGAAAATAAATATTGATACACTATTGATATTCACATAAAATCAGATGTGCTGTCCCAAATCTACTTTTGTGTGCTATATTTTTTCTTAAAAAAGAAAAAAAAAACAAACCTGTGACATTAGAATACACTATTATTGACATTTGCACATCTCCAATGAGTAGCGATTCACGATTCAGACATTAATATGTAATTCTAAACAGCAACGTTAAGACTAACTGCGTAGTTTAAAATATGACACAGTAGGAAACATAAATATTTAATTATGTAAAAATGCTAATGTATCAGTATGATATTTATTTACTTTAGATATTAGTATTAATAAAGTATGTTTATGATTACTCATGTACTTGATTTCTGTAACTTACCTATACATATTTTTCAACTCCAACCGCTTCTAATATTGTACTATTAGTAAAGAAATTAAAACTGTTTTTCTAATAATGATTCATTCTCCTAATTCCTTTTCAGATACTCAGCTAAGGCAAAAGAGCTATCTCGTATCTACCACTCCCATGTGGCGCACCCTAGCGTGGACCTGGTACACTGGACAGAGGAAGTAGTGGCGTCTCAAGATGCGCTATATCTTCGCTCTGCTGCGTTGCAAACACCTCTCTACCAGAAATTATACCTGGACTTGGCTGCTTTAGTAATCTTAATAATTCTTGTTGTTATATATCTTACTCGAAAAGTTTTAAAGATATTTACTAAAAAGGCATATAATGACAAAAAAAAATTCAGCATATTTTAATAGGTATATATAAATTACGTGACACGTTGTTTGTCCGCTATGGACGCCTAAACTACCGAACCGATATCAATCAAATTTGCACACCGAGTGCAGTCTGATCTAACTTAAAAGATAGGATAGCTTACATCTCAATTTATATCCGCAATATTATTTTGTTGCAAAATATTTGTTTATTATTTAATAGTCACAATTCTAACAGATGGCGCTGTGTTGAAAGTACCAACGTTTCACATAAGCTACAATTTAATGGCATAACCACCAAGAAAGCATGGTGGTCCCCATGACTGGTGTTCTCCTACCGTTTCCCTTGAATAGTTTACTACTATGTAATATAACAAAAACCTTAGCCACACAGCAACGTTTGGCCGGTCTGCTAGTAATAATATATAATAGTATGATAATTAGCATAATAATTACAAATAACAGAGATATTTATGGCGTAGATTTCTATTAATATTTCATCGATATTTTCTGTCCTTTGTGCGACAAGAAA